TCTCCTTGCAAAATTCCTCATTGGCAACCTTCCATAACAGGTATTATCCTCCATTTAGCACAGCTTTACACATACTAGTCCAATCTGCTGGCGTCATGTTCAAGTTGTTAATGGATTCGACCAAGCTTACAGTGAAGGGTGCTTGAGGACCATAGGTTGTTACAGCCTCTTTTAGCTGCTTCACTGTTTTGAAATTTAAAGCACGGTGAATTCGCTGCCCTCCTACCTCAAATACAGGGCATGCTAATCTTTGAGGTCCTGTCTCAGGATCCCAACTATCAACTGCGGGGGTTGGGGGCCTCCCAGCATATGGAGGTGGCGCTGTTGGTTGGACACTTACTTCCTCTGGTGATAGAAAGGTGTTAGTAGCAGTCTCCTGTTGTAACTTTCCCCCTGATGGCTTTTTCTGCTGTACACTTTCTTTCTCTGTCTGACTAGCTTGAGAGACCTTTGGACTAAGCAAACAAGATACCAACGTCCACAATAGCCAACTGGCAGAGTCCCTGGGCTTTTCTTTTCTATTCTTTTTAAATCTTCACCATGATGGTTCCATTGTGATATATTTAACAACTCCTCCTTGAAAAGCCATGGGCTACATTTTTGTATTGTATCAACGTATGCCCTGACTGCTCTTGATTTTACTGGGGTGCCTCCTTCCTCTAACAATTTACTTAACACTCTTTCGGTTTGTTTTTTATTAATTTCTGATCCCAGATTTCTACTATAATACAACCCAACAAGATGACGCCAAACAAAACCGAGATAGAATGAAACAAAAATGGAACAACAAAGAATCATTATAGCCTTTCTCCCTATCTGTTCCTCAGAGGTGAGCGGTTTTTCTTCCGTCTCACCCATCTCCAGGGACAGGCAACTTAAAACAAAGTGAAGCAAAACAAAAGAGGAATCTTTAAATGGCTCCCCATCCTCTCGCCCTGCCCTCAGGGGCAAGCAGTTTACCTTATCACTTACCCTCAGTCGTTCCCATACGGCCACCAAATGCCGCAGTCTGGCTGGGCACAATTCAGGAGCCACTTGTCAAAAGAAACGAACTTTATTTTTAGAACCACACACACCACACCACACAGCTCCTCAGGAAAAACCCTCAGAGCCCAACTGCCACCACCGGCTTCCCACAAGCCTCTCCACCTCCCCACTCCTCCTGCTCTTGAGGCCGATTGGCTGGGTCGCGTGGGTGGAGCCAAAAGAGTCCCCCAATGAGCAGCTCCGTGGTCTGAAAGGGCGGGGAAACAGCCCAATGAGCATCACCGCAGAGGAGCCAATCAGCTAGAAGTTGCTGGGGCGCTGTGAGCCAATCATCAGCTGGAAGTCTGAAAGTTTGCTGGGGCCCCTTCGGCTGTGGCTCTCAACACTGCAGCTTCCCTATGGCGAGCATTTAGATAGCCTGTCTTCACACGGAGCAGCGTTCCTCCCTCTCTGTTGGATGCATACCTGGGGGACGGGTTTCCGTGCTCCATCTTCCTGGGCGACTGGCCCCTGCGTTACATTTCCTTCTCTTCTCTTGCTGGCTTGGAGCTCTGCCACCCCGTCCTGTCAGGAGTCTGCACAGGGCTCTGCCCCGGTGCTGCACACTGCACGCCTGGTGTCCTTGCCACTAGTTCTGCAGACCCTCTCACAACCCACGGCCCCTGTGGGTTCCCTACATGGCCACTGCCCACTGGGTCAGTCTGTGACCCCCTCTACATCTCTCCCCTGACCCCTGTGGTTGAAGGTCGACCCCACCCCCTCCCCAGTGGGGTCCGTTCTTCTCTCCTTCCTCCTGTGCCGCTTGCTGGTCGGCCGTGAGGGACGTCTCTGGGCGGCAGGCCTTGTTTTCTTCCCCTCTTGGGCCCTCAGCTGTGGGAGTCGGCCGCCTGCTCCCGTACCACCTTCCGTGGTTTCTGCAGCTTCTCCTTCTCAGGGCACGTCCGTGTCTCTGGCTGCCTGAGTTCCCAGCACTTGCTTGCGTGCTGCGGCTTTGTTCTTATTTTTCTAGAACGAGTCCTGGGATTGAACAGATGGACTGACACACAGTCAGTTCTGGGAGCGTCTCAGACATGCCCTCTGACCCTCTCTTCCTCCTGGGGCTTCAGAAGGTGCCCTTGTCTGGCCCTTGAGCACCTTCCTGTCTCTGTTCTCGTTTCTGGGTGGTTTCTTCCAAACCATCCTCCCCTCCAGTTCACTGGTCTCCCTAACACTGTATCAGATCTGCTTTCAAGCCTGTCCCTTTAGTTCCTAATTTCTATTATTTTGTTTCCTTTTATCATATTCATTTGATTCTTTACACTGTCTTCTTTGATCAGTAACTATGCTGATGGCTTCTTTTCCTCCCTGCTCCCCCCAGTGTTTCCTTGTGTGAAATGCACATGGCATAACCACGCTGCTGGTGCAGATGCGAGCCCTGCGCTCAGAGCTGCAGTGTGAGCACCTGCACAGCTGCCCACAGAGGGCGCCTCTTGCTCAACTGAACCTCCACACGGCTGCACGAGGACTCCAGGAAGCCGTGGGCAGGACGACCTGGGGTGCGTGTGGACCTGGCCCTGTGGTCAGGGCCCTGGGGACTGGCTGGCTGCACTGACCGCATCTCCAGGGCTCACCACCCTGCTACACCTGGGACTCTCTCTCTTCTTAAGGCTGAATAACATCCCATTCTTTCTCTGTCTGTCCTTTTACCAGTGGACGCTGGAGTGGCCTCCAGCTTCTTGCTGTTGTGAATAATGATGTTATGCACCTGGGCACACAATGCAAATCCTCAAGACCTGGCCTTTGACCTGGCTTTATATGCAGGAGCGAAATGGCCGGGGCCTTCTGTGGTCACCATTACTCATTCTATTCCCCCTTTCCATTTCACCATTACATCTCCACCAGCAAGGCCTGAGAGCTCCAGTGCTCACGGCCGCTCGTGCTCTGTGCCTCCCACCTCCCAGGTGGTCAGGTAGGGTGGTCAGGTAGGGCGGTCGGCCCTTCACAGGTTTCTTGCAGAGAGGACCTCTCACAGCAGGCCAGGGCCACCAGGGCCAGGGACAGGCTCTCAGCAGATAGTGCTTGGGAAGCTGAGTGGCCACACAGGAAAGAATGCCGTCAGAGCCCCTGGCACTGCAACCAACAGAGTCAAAGTAGATCAAAGGCTAACACTGGAACTCAGGGGAAACCCGGGGGCAGCCACTGGGCAGCGATTTCTTGGGTAGGAAACCAGAGTCATTGGCAACAAAAGAAAACAGGCATAGAGGACTTCCTGGACCTTTGGGACATCAAAAGACATAGTCAACAGTGTCACAAACCCCCGGCATGGAGGAGACATCTGCTAGCCATGTCCTGATGAGGGGTTGGTGTCCAGAACACAGAAAGAGCTCTCAAATTCCACAACTAAACACAAACAACCTGATTCAAAAATGGGCAAAGGACATTTGTGCAGTGACAGAGATTGAGCCCAGGGACACTACCTCTGAACTGCATCCCCAGCCCTCCCCCACCTCTTTCTCACTCCGTCAGGCTGATCAGGGACCTGGCTCCAGCTAGCCCTGAGCTCTCACATGGCCCTCTCTCCTTCCTGAGCTGCCTGGAACCTGACCCTCCACCTGGGCCAGCAGGACCTCGTGTGCCACCACACCTGGCTTGACTGTTTTCTTGATGGAATCTTAAGATTGGCATCTTATTTCTTTGAGCCTTGCTATTGGATAGTAGGAGCCTGACGGTGCCACACCTGGTGTCCCTCTCTGCTGAGGCCTTCCTGTGTGCTTGATCATCTTTATGTCCTCGGTTTACAAGTCACTTGTAGGAATGACTTGAGGCCAAGATGACACCACCTCCCTCCAGAGCATACTTTCGTTTGCTTCTGCCTGGAAGAGGCCACCCTACCCACACCCCGGGACCCACGTGCCTGGAGCCAGGGCCCAGCGCCCCTGCAGGCTGATCAGGGACCTGGCTCCAGCTAGCCCTGAGCTCTCACATGGCCCTCTCTCCTTCCTGAGCCGCCGCTGGGCTCTGGAAAGGCAGTGAGGACAGGGGCCAGCCCCCACGCCTCTCCTGGCCCTGGCTCGGACCCTGGTGCTCTGGGGACAGAGTGCATCATCCACCTTTTTGTTGATCTGAACACACACATGCCCTCACTGGAGGGAGTCCCAGCAGCCTTTTCTAAAGGCCCAGTTCTGCTCACATTCTTCCCAGCAGCAAAGAACGACAATATGGGGCCAGCACTGTGACCGCAAACTCGTATGCCTTTGCCCAGCCCCCTGTGAGGTCAGAGCTGGTGTCTTAAGCTACTATAACAAAGTGCCTGAGACTGGGAAGCTTATGAACAACAGGAGCATTCTTCTCACGGCCCTGGTTCTTTCAGAGTTGATGCCAGAGAGGCCTGCTTCCTGGGGTCTTCCAACTGTGTCCTCACGTGGCAGGCCACCCTTTGGCCTTTATAAGGTCACTGATCCCCTTCCTCAGAGCTCCGCCCTCATGGTCTCCTCCCTCCAGAAGGCCCCACCCCCTCACACATCATCTTGGGGGTGAGGATGGGTTTGGGGACTGAGCCGGTGTGAGCTCAGTCTCCTAGGTGAGAAGACCAGAGCCAGGGGGTAGCTGACCTGTCTCGGGGACACAGAGTCAGGCCTGAATTCTGCCTGTCTGAATGCAGAGCCTCTGCTCAGCCTCTGCTGCTCTGAAGCCTCCTGGGCTCCCCACTTCCATCCTCCGCCGGCTGTGCTGGCCCTGGCCCGGACCCCACCCTTCCCGATGGCCCAAGAAACCCTGGAAGCCGTAAAGGCTGCTGGGCAGGCCAAGAGCAGCAGGCCCTGCCGGGAGGGAGTTCCACAGCAGGCCTCAGGCACTCGGCTCACGTCAGAACCTGGTCCTGAGCACCCGCTTGCCCGGGGCGGGGTGCAGCCAGACCCTGCGGCCCCATCTCAGGGTCCCCCTGGGGATGCTGCTGAGGCTGGGTCGCCCTCCCAAGATGTCTGATCAGGAGGGAGGAGGCACCATGCCACAGCTTCCCGCTTTCTCTCTCCCAGGTGAACAACAACGGCATCATCTCCTTCCTCAAGGAGGTCTCCCAGTTCACCCCCGTGGCCTTCCCTATCGCCAAGGACCGCTGCGTGGTGGCGGCCTTCTGGGCAGATGTGGACAACAGGCGTTCAGGTGACGTCTACTACCGGGAGGCCACGGACCCAGCCACGCTGCACAGAGCCACGGAGGACATCAGACGCTACTTCCCTGAGCTCCCAGACTTCTCTGCCACCTGGGTCTTTGTCGCCACATGGTACCGAGTGACCTTCTTTGGAGGCAGCTCTTCTTCTCCTGTGAGTCCAGGCCTTGGTCCTGAGAAGGGAGGGTATCTAGCTAGGACCCTCCCCAAGGCAGGCCAGGTGCAGTCCCTCATCCACACCCAAGAGGAGCATGGGGCTCAGGAATCCAAGTCCCCGCAGCAGAGAGTATATCAACTTCCTTGGCCGAGGTCATGGACCCGTGGAGGAGGGTGGAGCCTTCTCCTCCCAGACCTCCTGGAAGCTGCACACTTGCAGCAGATGTGCTAGTGACTCTGTCAGGTGAGCAGGAGTCAGGAGGACTTCCATTTGGAATGCCCAGCACTCAGGGACTCTGCAGGAGCCATTCCGTTTCTGTTCCCCGCCCTTGGCAATGCCAGCCAGCCAGTATGCTAACAGGAATTCCTGGGCACTCTGCCCAGCCTGGTGAGAACAGGTGGGTGGACGCTCCCTTAGGAGGACAGTGTTTATTGAGCACCTACTATGTCAAGGCCTGTGTTGGATATTGGGCCACAACTGCCCAGATAGATGCTAATTCCCCTGAAAGAGGTACCAAGGGGCACACGTCCCGAGCTATCTGTTCACCACTCAATAAACACTTTTTAGGGCACCTGCTAAGCAGCAGGCAGTGTCTTGGGCACTGGGGACACAGCCCTGGACAAAGCAGACAGGAGTAGTGCAGCCCATTCAGCATACTCCAGTGGAGGTGACAGGAACAGCGTGTCCCGGGCACCAGGCACCAGATGTGCTCGGAGGCACAGGGGGCACTTGGCAGCACTTCCCGCGCTGCCAGGAGCAGGCTCATCAACACAAAGTGGACGTCACGGTTCGTGCATCTCCTCGTAGCTTGTGGAAACACTGAGGTTGGCCAGCTCCCACAGCCCCGCTGTTGGCCCTGATGGTGGCTGTCACATCTTGGTTAGGTTCACTTTCCCAAAGCACAGTGCCCATTCCCCTGTTTGCTCACACTACAGTGCCTGCCGCGGCTCCCATGGTCTCCATGGCTGCCAGCCAGCCCGGGGCCCTGCTGTGCCTCAACTTGTCTCACCTGGACGTGGACAAAATCCATGTGCTACAAGGCTGTGGGGTGGCACCACGTGGCCCCAAGTGGCCCCTGGCATGGTGGTGTCCTGGAGACCCATGGCCTGCAGACCTGCAGCATCCCCTGAGTCCCCCCCACACCTCGCGGTGCCAGTGCCTGACCCCAGCCGCGGGCTATGTCTTTGTCCCTCCTTGGCAACCCAGCAGGCCACAGAAGGTGCTTCTGAGGGACTTGGGTGTCTTTGCTCTCGGGGGCGGTCGGGTCAGCTGCTGCTGCTGGTGTCCTCCGCTGTGGAGGGATGCTCTGGGGCTTTCCCTGTGATCCGTGACGCTGCCCTGCAGTGAAGGATATCCATGTCCACCTGCCACGGGTCACAAGGGCTTCTTCACGTGGCTATTTGACACTCAGTTTGATCTTACAACACTTTCTTCTATTAAGAAGTTTTTTCCCCAATATGTAAGTCTCCCTGTTGGTCCCTGCTGTTAACAAACGTCGTACTTAAAGGTCCTTTTCCTCACGAGGTGTGGACACATGGGCCTCTTTTCTTCTAGGATTTCCATGGCTGTGTTTTAAAGCCACACTTGGTTGGGATTAATCAGGTACTGTGTAAAAGCAGGCTCGGAGTCTGTTCTCTCAGGAAGCTTCCCCCGTGTGACCCAGTCATTTCTTGAACGGTCCCGATGCCTCACCCCAACGTCAAACGACGTCTCTTACGTGGACACTGCCCACCACAGAACACAGGTCATAAACCTGGAGGATGCAGAACTGCTTTTCCCTAGTTCCCCTGTAGCATCCCCCTTCTTTCTTTTTACATTTTTGTTCATTTCACACAAGGAATTTCATGGACTTGGCCAAGTGAGCACTAAGCCACTGCAGAGCCGCGTCCTCCTGGGTGGGCCCAGTCTGCTTCGTGCCCTAGGCGGCCTCCACCCAGTGCAGGGCACTCACGGCCCCTGCGGCAAGGCGGGGTGCTGTGCACTGGGCCCTCGCACTCCTGCCTGGCTGACTGTCCCCCTGTGGGGCGGACACTGAGTAGGCCCAGAGCAGGGCCTCGCTGCGGCCCCTGCCCAGCCCTCTCTCCTACACAGGTCAATACGTTCCAGACGGTGCTGGTCACCGACGGCAAGTCCTCCTTCACCATCTTCAACTACGAGTCCATCTCATGGACCACAGGCACTCATGCCAGCAGTGGGGGCAACTCTGCTGGCCTGGGGGGCATCGCAGCCCAGGTAGGTCACGGTGGGGCTGGTACTTGGTATCAAGGGGTCCCTATTCCTCCTGCTGGGACTGTCATGACCTGAAGGAGCGAGGCTGGGGTCACTGTAGGCAGATGTGCCCCACCGCCCTGCGGAAGCCAGAGTGAGGAGGTCACAGTGACGAGGCACAACCAGGTGTCCTCAAGGAGGCCTCTCACTGCCCAGAACGACAGAAATCCTCGGGCTCAAAGGCACCATTGTCCCCTGATCCTCCTTACAGTGGCTCTTGATTGACAGATACAAAAGTGACCGGAAGCCCCTACCCTCAGTGTGGCCTCCACTCATCTTCTGGACCCTCTCTGGCCCCAAGGCCCTCCGGGAGGCCCAGAAGCCCAGGGGTGAGGCTGGAGGCATGGGTCAGGGAACAGGGCCAGTGCTCCTGTAGCTGAGGCAAGGTTGGTTGACCTCAGGGCCTGGTAGGACTTACATATGCCGAGTCCCAGGTACAAGGCCATCTGCCCCACCATCTTTGACCTTGGCCACCCAGGGAAGGGTCAAGGAAATGTAAGGAGACCTGTCTCCCCTCCTACCCCCACCCCAGGCAGGCTTCAATGCGGGCGATGGGCGGCGCTACTTCAACATCCCTGGCTCGCGCACCGCGGACATCGCAGAGGTGGAGACCACCACCAACGTGGGTGTGCCCGGGCGCTGGGCGTTCAGAATCGATGATGCCCAGGTGCGCGTGGGGGGCTGCGGCCATACAAGTAAGAGGCTCAGGGCGGGGAGGGCTGAGGAATGGGGGCCTCAGGAGGGGCTGGGTGGGGTGCTGACCCAGGGCAGGGGGACCACGTGAGGACTACGTGAGGCCCGCCCTCCTGGAAGCACATGAACTGGGCAGGTCCTGGGGCTCGGCCCTGAGCCGGTTTCCCCAGGGGCTTATGGGATCCTGATGTAGGCTGGGACCGCAGGCGTGGGCCCACTCTTAGGGGTTGGTGTTGTGACCAGCCTGTGCCTGGTACAGACTGGGTGGTCCCCAGGTCCCTCCATCTGACCGTGCAGGCTGATGGGGCTTGTCCCTCCTGCACGAGCAGACGGCCCTGGGACAGCGTGGACCCTGGGACCCCCAGTGCTGCTGCGTGCAGCCTCGGGAGGCAAGACATCAGGTGACGGCCCAGGGGCGTCAGGTGATGGCCCAGGCATGTGGGGGAGCTGCTCCTCACAAGCCAAGCCGGTGCCACAGAGAGGCCTCTCCTGGGGCCTCCCCTCCCACCTCTGGGCCCGAGGCCACCCCAAGCTGGGTGCTTCTCCCTAGCGCCATTCCAGAGAGCCAGTACAATGCTGGGGACCCGCCAGACCAGCTGCAGGTGCAGGCACACACACAATGACCAAGAGGGAGGAGCACCAGGCATCTACTGGCCGGGGAGACACTCCTGAGTGCCCACCTCTGGGGAGAGGCCTGTGCCCACAAAGCAGACTGCGAGTAGGCCCCAGTTGGAGTCTGAGCTTAGGGAGTGGGCACTCCGTGGGCATGGCGTCCAGGAGCCACGCCCCCACCCCCAAGCTGGGGAGCCACAGGCCAGGTGTCTCAGATCAGGCTCCACCACGGATCTGGCACGGGCAGTTGAGGGTGCACATAGGTGCAGACACCCACTCCCAACCACTGCTTTGGGTGGGTCGGTGGGTCAGGTGGCCTGCCATTGGCCAAGGTATGGGGTTGGGTTGAGGAGAAGGTGCAGGTGGGGTCCTGTGGGCAGGCCAGGCCTGGAGCTGTGAAGGACGAGCCTGGGGAAAGGGGCCCTCAGAAGAGGGTCCTGCCCGTCCTTGGGGGCCCTCCTGCCCACTGTCCAGGATCTCTGGATGAACAGTTAGAGGGGCCTCCAGGTCCCCGATACCCCTGCGGGCGGGGACACTGCATGCTCCAAGCCAGCCTCGCAGCAGCATGCAGACTGTCCAGCTCCAGGGTCAGCTCTGAGGACTCCACGAGTGTGGCTCATCAGCAGGGGGGTCAGTGTGTGCTGAGAGGCAGCGCATCCACATATGGAAGTCAGATTCTGAGAAAGCAGGGCCCACGGGCAGCACCATTCAGCAGGTGGCCAAGCATAGGGAAGCTGGGCGGGCAGCACAGGGTCCTTCCAGGAGTCTCCCTGGGACCCTCTTAGCAACAGGAATCCAAGTCCTCGGGATGCTGTTGTCACCTGCTGATTTGTGCTTATCAGCCACAGGTTCCAACAGCCTTGCTTCTCCTGGGCTAGTGTCTCGGGAGCCGCGTCGGTGGCTGTCTGCTCCGGCAGGTCAGGGTGTGGAGGTCTTGGGGCCCCTTCCTGGTGGCAGCCCTGCTAGGAGAAGCAGGGCTCTGATGGCTGACTGCCAGCCTCTCCTTTGACACGCCAGGAAACCAAGAGGGGCGCCTGGGCCTCAGAATCGCCCATGGCAGAGCTGGGGAAGATTCGAGGGACAAGCAGGGGCTGTGGGTGTGATTCTGGGGGTGTGCCTTCACCAAAGGCAAAGGCAAAGCTGAGGGCACTAACTGCCAGCACCCCTCAGTCACACAGGGCTCCCTGCAGACCAGGACCTGGGCAGTGAGAGCATGGGTGTGCTGCTGCCCGTGGTCACCAGGTGGCCTTGGGGACCAAGGGAGGGAAGGACATAGTGTATATGAGCGGCTCTCTGGCCCAAGTCCTCGGGGCTGACGGGAGACTCGGGCTCCTTCCTATGCCCACAGCCTCTGTGTGCCTGGCCCTGCGCCCGTGCCTCAATGGCGGCAAGTGCATCGATGACTGTGTCACCGGCAACCCCTCGTACACGTGCTCCTGCCTCGCAGGCTTCACAGGGCGGAGGTGCCACCTGGGTGAGTCCTGGCCCGGGGAACAGGGTGCTCACTGAGGGGACCGGCCCACTGGTGGCACTGGGCTCAGGAGTGCTGCTGGTGCAGGCGGTGACCCTGAAGCCCTGAGTCAGGGTCTCTGTCCCTCTGTGGTGGGGATGGCTGAGGGGCAGATGCCGTGGCTCTGTGGCAGTGAAGACGGTCGGCGGGTACTGCTGCTGTCCCTGGAGGCCTTCTCTGAGTCAAGCTCAGTTTGGCCATTTATCCCGCCCCCAACCCAAGGCTGTGGTGGCTCCTCCCAGCCCTATGTCCTCCACTGAAGCCCAGCCTGCCCGTTTCAGATGTGAACGAGTGTGCTTCACACCCGTGTCAGAATGGCGGGACCTGCACCAATGGTGTCAACAGCTTCAGTTGTGAATGCCCAGCTGGCTTCAGGGGACCCACCTGTGAGTCGGGTAAGAAGAACCTGCCAGCAGGCCCCATGACCTTGCTGCTGCAAGAGAGCTGAGGTCCAGGCCCTGGAGGGGCTCAGCCTCAGTTGTAGGCCACCCAGAGAGGCTGTCGGCGGGGGGGAGGCACTAGACAAAAGTCCTGCCTGTGGGTGAACAAGAGGAGTGACCCCAAGAGACACGGCTTCCAGGCCCTGATGCTGGAGTAGGAATGAAGCCTGATCTAGGCTGGTGTCTGGGTCAGTGCCCAGGCCCACGTCAAGGCCAGACCATCAGCAGAGCCTAGATGAGGCCCACCAAGATAGCTCGACGGGAAGACAGGGACTCCTGCAGTTCCTGGGCCAGCTCTAGGGTGAGCACAGACTCCCCAGCCCGCCCTCCACCTGCCCATGCCTCCTGAGCCAGCAGGTCCAAGGACACCCCTTCTCCCCACCCCAGGGTCTCAGAGCCCGGGCATGGGCTGGGTCCTTCTCCTCTCCACTCCTGCTTCCAGACCACTGGGGCTGGCCCTCTGCCTCAGAGCCTGGCTCTTTGAAGCTGTTCCTGGACGATTCAGCCTCAAATAATTATACTTTGACCAGCACCTGAGTTGGGGCCCCTTGGGTTTCTCTCGCCTTTGACCTCTTGACAAAGAAAGACGGGTCCCCCTCCTGGCCCGAGCCTCACTGTGGGGTGGTGCTTGCAGAGCTACACAAGGGAGCCCCTGAAAACCAGAGCATGGTGACCACCTGCCCTCGGGCTCAGCCTGCTGCGCTGACACATGTGAGTCATTCGTAGAACACACGGTGGTCAGCCCAGTGTCCGGATCGCAGCCACCTCAGCACCGCAGGTCACAGAACCATCTCTGCTGCTGTAGCAAGTTCAGGGAGGGCTCAGCAGGGGTCCTGGGTCTTTGCTGATCAGTAGCGCAGCCAGGCGCCCAACATGCCGTCCTCTCCTCCTTCGTGCAGCCCTATCCCCATGTGACAGCACAGAGTGTCAAAATGGCGGCCAGTGCCAGGCGGAGAGTGGCTCTGCAGTGTGTGTGTGCCAGGCCGGGTACACAGGGGCCACCTGCGAGACGGGTGAGCAGTGACTCTCGGGGCAGAAGGGCCAGGGGAAGTGGGTGGTGCTGGGAGAGGTTCCCCTCCCAGCCAGATGCTGGGCCCGGGGTGTCCAACCTGGGCTCAGCCAACCTCCCACCTCTGCTGCCCCCAGATGTGGACGAGTGTGGCTCTGACCCCTGCCTAAATGGAGGGTCATGTGTCGACCTGGTGGGGAACTACACCTGCGTGTGTGTGGAGCCCTTCGAGGGACCTCGCTGCGAGACAGGTAGCTGGCCACATGCCCGTGTCCTGCCTCACTGTCCAGCTGAACCCCACATCTGCCTCTGGCTTGGGGAGGTCCCTGCCCTCTCCCCACTTCCCATCCCCTCCTGAGCTGGGGCCTGCAGAGCAGGGAGCAAGCTGTGTGAGGCTGGGTGAGGGTCTTCTCTTGCTCAGGGAAAGGTCTGGCCCTTGATTTCCTCTGCAAAATGCAAGAACAGACCTCCTCTTCCAGCTTAGTGTCATGGCTTTTTAACATCTTCCTGACCCAGAATCCGCCGGGGAGCTAGAAAGGAGGCCGGCCTTCAGTGCCTGCAGGGGGACCTTTTGCCATTTCCTGTTGTTTTAAACGTGGGTTGTGACAGTAGACCAAGGAAGAGGCCAACTAGAGATTTTGAAGCACCATAAAAAAAAAATGAGAACACAAAGGCTTCGGTGTCTGAGCACTGCTCTGACCCCAGGGCCACCCATGGGGCAGACATCCTGGAGGTGCAGGGGCTGCTGTGCCCTGGGTGCTGAGACAGACTCTTCAAATTCATTTTTGGCTTTAAAAAATAAGAAGGAAGTTAATTTAACCATGAGAAAGACACAGATGGACACTGCCTTCCATCCTTCTCCATGTCCATGGCCACCCAGGCAGAGCGTCCCCAGGGGGCAGGCTGGAGTGCAGAGGGCGGGGGCGGAGGGCACCTGGCCTGCTGGCTGCCTTCACACTGGGGTTGCAGTTCACTCCTCAGGTGGTTCACTAAACTCGTGTCAAAAAGCAGGTAAGTGGTTTCCAAAGATTTTTACAAATAAGTCATGTTTGACACAGCATAATAATGCAAATGGAGGTGAATAATAAAAACAGCAGGACAGGCAGAGTGCCTGGTGTACGCCCGGAGCCCCAGCTGCTTGGAGGCTAAGGTAGGAGGATCACATGAGCCCAGTAGTTTGAGGCCAGGGCAACAAAGGAGACTCCATCCCCAAACCTACAAAAGCCACAGAACTGACACTTGTACCACTGATGGAAGTTCGCTAGCTACGTACAAAGTGCAAGCCCTGACAGTCCAACCAGAGTTCATGGGAACTGACCGATGAACTTGAGACTACAGAGTGGCTGCTCTCATGCTAACTGCTCTAGAAATTCCCAAGCAAAGCCTGCAAGTGCCCTGACCTCAGCCACTGGACCACACAGCCTAGGGCTGCCATCCCCGAGAGGAAGGCAGGGGAGAGGAGAGCCCTGCAATCACCCCAGACGCTGTCGGAGCACCCAGGCTGCTCTGCAGGGAGGGCTCCCGGGTCAGGAGCCCTCTGAGTGCAGGAGCAAGATTCAGTTTGAAGGCTCAAACAGAGGTTGGGGGCTGAGAGCAGAACAGATGGAGCTGTGGGTGGGGGGAGGGGACGTGAGATCAGGAAGGGCCTGGAGTCTTTGCTTCAGTGTGATCTGGGTGGGGGATCCACAAAGCTAGGACAGAACACCAGAAAGCGACTCCCCTCTCCAACAGGGCTGGGAAAGTCACCCACACCTGCCAGAGCGGAGAGCACTCTCCACACCGGGGCCAGGGTGGAGAGAGCCTCAGGAGGAGCCCTTCAGCTATGGAGAAAGCCGTGCCGAGGTGAGGACTGAGCTGATGGCCCCACGGCCTCAGAAGGAAGTCCAAAAGAATCAAGCGGACCCCAGGTCTTGACCACACGCAGGAACATCCTACACTCCCCAAACAGCATAACAGGCCTACGCAGGGCCCGGAACCCAAGCTACCCAGTCAAAGATGTCAGGCAAGCAGAGAAGACAGACGTGACCTATATCCAGGAGAAAAACAGATCAGCAGAAACAGAGACCACAGAGACAAGAGCATCATTATAGATATTTAGACACTCATATGAGAATGCTGCATATTCTCAAGACTGTTGAGGGAGGAAAAGGGAATAATGAGAAGTACAAAATATTTTTAAAAGAAATTGTAGTGATGAAAACTATGTCTGAGTTTTTAGAGTACACTGGATTGTGACAGCAGGTTAGATGCTGCAGAGGGAGGTCCAACGCACGAGAAGGAGGGAGAGGAATAGAAACAACTCAGGAAGTCGTCCAGAGAGCAGGACTGGAAGCACAGGTGATCTGTGGCCCACAGGACAGCCCCAAGAGGCCTGGATGTGTGCACCTGGAGTCCACGGAAGAGGAAGAGGCGGGAAGAGGGAGTCCCATAAACAGTACAGAAGAAATGACGGCCAAGTACCTTCCAAAGTTGATGAAAACTAAGCCCAAGTGCTCACGAAGAGCATGAAGAAAACCACACAAAGATACCCCGTGAGCACCGCTGGGCCCAGCACAAGGAACGTGTCTCAGCAGCAGCAAAGGGACACGTCGTCACATCCAGAGAACCTGGGTGACAGCAGGCTCGCCAGAAGCTGCACTCACCAGCACACACGAGTGACATCATTTCAGTGCTGAAAGAAAAAACTATCCGCAGAGCAGAACTATCTTTCAAAAATTAAGGAGAAATGAAGACTTTTTTACATGAACAAATACCAAGAGCATTCATTGGCCTATCTGTGTTGTAAAAATGTCAAATGTTTCAGATGAAAGGAAAATGATCCCAGGGAAAACTATGGGTTTACACAAGTACAGAATGTTAGAAACTACCGATCTGTAGGTAAAGGACTTTCTTACTTCAAAAGCTCTTTAAAGACAATTTAAAAATAAGCAATTTTTATTCTAAAGGTGAGGTAGTATCCTGATGTGGTGTTGCACACCTATAATCCCAGTGACTACAGAGGTTAAGGCAGGAGGGTTGCAAGTTCAAGGCTAGCCTGAGTGACATAGCAAGACCCTGTCTCAAAATAAAAATAAAAATGGGTGGGATGTAACTAGTGGTGAAGCACTTCTGGGTTCAATACCCAGTACAAAAAGAAAGTTTGAAAAATGAAGTAGTGATATATTTATTCCTAGGTAGGAATAAACTATCATACAAGGTGGTGCAGACTTTCTGTAAGGACCAGATAAATACTTTTGGCCTTGAAAACAATATCGTCTCTGTCACAGCTACTCAGCTCTGCCATTGTGATAGGAAATCAGCCATAGATAAGACACAAATGTATGGCATAGATGGGTGCCAAAAAAAATCTTTAATTTTTAAAATGAGCGGCAGGCGAGATTTGGTCTGTGGACCATAGTTTATCAACCTGGCATAAAAGACAGGAAGAAATGGAAGTATAATATTATAAAAGCCTCATGTTATATAAAGTGGCATAGTATTACTTAAAGGTAAAGGCAAAAGATAAGTTTTAAGTAAAAGATAAACATTGTAATCTCTAGAGCAACAAGTAAAAAAACAAGATAAACTAAAACCAGTTGTGGGGGTAGAATGGTAGATGCTTAATCAATCCAGAGGTAGGAAAAAAGTAACAAAGGAGCATCAGGACACACAGATTCATACAAGACGACAGGTTCAATCTAATCACATCTGTAGTTCAGTAAGATGTAAACGAAAGGCACCAGTTAGAGACGAGGTTGTCAGTGAATCAATAACCAAAACCCATCAAGACACTGTTTAAAGAAACCCAAACCAAGCGTGGCAGTGCAGATCATCTCAGAGTGATGGACGGGTTTCTAGTCCTGAGTGCGATAGAGTAAGCACACTCTATCCTGTCTCTCCCACTGAATGCAGCCGTAAACCTGGACAGAATGCGTGGACTAGCTATCTGAGGACTCGGGGAAGTAAATAGTAGCAGGTGGACTGGGGAAGGAGACCAAGCCAAGAAGTGCCACCGAGCCAGTGGTGAGTTCACTTTTTTTCCCCTCTCTGGTATCCCCTCAGTTTGGACTCAAAGTCACTCTGAAACCAAAAGTGAGCAACATGTCCACAACATGGACAAAGGAGAGCCCAGAATCCCTGTGGCCAGGCTCCAGAAGCAGGGCCCACGGAGGCCCACTGTGGGGACCTCACAGTGTGAGCAGGGAACCTTCCTCACCAACTGGAGGTGCTACAGTTGCAAAGGGTATAGCCAACCCCTGTTACTGTCCTTCTCTGCCCCCCACCACGAGTACAGTCACAGGAGCAGATGGTAGGGAGGGCGATCAAAAGCCCAGCTTTCTAGCCACAGGACCAAGAAGAGTAACCCAGAGAGCTCATGGAGACTGAGCAGAGGTTGCACCTGGGATCAGCAACTTTAGGAAGCTATTTATGAACTCTTGGCCTCCCCCAGGTTAGGCATGTGTGATCTGACCCAAAGTTTAAAGACAATACCTTTCATCATAGTTCCCCTAAAGATAAAAATTTAGATGTAAATCTTACAAAATGCACAGAATTTGTATGATTAAGCCTATGAAATAATGATGAAAGAAGCCAAAGGAAGTCTAAGTGAATGGTTGGACACCCCATGTTCATGGATGAGAAGAGTCAACATGGTAAAGTAAAGATGTCAGTTTTCCCCACATTGATTAATTAATAGGATTCCAACCAAAATCTCAGCAGGATTTTTTTTTTGTAGATATAGACAAGATTGTTCTAAAATTTATATGGAAATTTATATGAATAGCCAAAACAATTTTGAAAAAGAAGAATAAATATTGAGGATTTGCACTACCAGGTGTTAAGACTAACTATAAACCTACACTGAAGACAACCACGTGTTATTGGCAAATGGGTCAATGGGACAGAAGAGAGAATTCAAAATCAGATTCACACAAATACGGTCCATTAACTTTTGAAAAATATATAAAAGCAATTCAGTGGATAAAGGATGATCCTTCCAACAAATGGGATTGAAATTTTACTTATGCAAAAAAAAACCAAAACTCAAACCTCACACCTTATACAAATATTAACTCAAAATGGAGCATAAACCTAAATGGAAAATGTAGAACTATAACATTTTTAAAAGAAAATGTGAAAAAAAATATTGGTAACCTGGCCTCAGCAAAAGCATTATCTATACCAGAAAAAAAAATAGATAAATTAGACTTCTTTGCCCAAATTAAAAGCTTTTGCACTGTGAAAGACATAGTTAAAAGAATGAAAAGACAAAAATACAGACGGGGAGAAAATATTTGGAAAACTCACCTCTGATAAAGGACTTGATGTGGGAAAGCAACCAACTGTGGGAAAAGAACTCAGTCATAAAATGGACAAGAGACTTAAGACTCACGACCACAGGAGCACACAGGTGGAGGACAGATGGAGGGTGTTCTCGTCCTTATCAGTAGCCATGAGGGAGATGCTAGCCCCAGGGTACAATGAGATACCCCCCCACACTGACTGCAGTGTCCAGAAGACGTGATGATGATCTGGTGTGGACACAGAGCAGTGGACTCGCACACATTTGGGGTGACTACAAAATGGTTCTGCCACTCTAAAAACAACGTGGCAGTTTTATATGTTAAACATACACCTATAATGTGGCCCAGCATCCTATTCCTAGGTATTCACCCTACAGAAATGAAAACTGCAAAACTCTACACAGTGTTTTAATCATGTCTATTTATGTTCACCAGAAATCTAAAACTCAAGTCTCCTACATCGGGTGAGTGGACAGATAAACTGTGGTGACAACGGAAAACACCCCTCAGTCTCAAAGGGAACTCATCCTTACACACTCACTGAGATGACCTCAGCAGCACTCTAGGGAAGGAAGCCCGTCACAAGAGATTCCTGCATGTGTGTGACTCAGCCTTTGTCAGTGTGACAGACACCTGAGAGAAACCACCTAAAGGAGGCCATGTTTGAAGGGTTTATTGTTTCAGAGGACACTGTCTGTACCTTTGGGCCTCGGTGAGGCAGGACTTCATGGCGGAAGCACATGGTGAAGGAGGCTGCTCACCTAACGGCAGCCAGGAAGCACGGAGAAGGACAAGATAGACCAGGGCCCCAGGATCCCCTTCAAGGACACACACTAATGATATCCTACTGCGTCCCAGGAGTGCCGTCAGCTGGGGACCAGGCCTCCAGCACAGGAGCTTGCAGGGCCACGTGAGATCTCTGCCACATTCCATTCACCTGGCATTCTCGAAGAGGCAACACTGCAGTGGTGGGCAGCTGTGGTGGCCAGGAGCTCAGAGGATCAGGGGTCCGAACCTCTGAAGAAACAGAACACGAAGTCTCTGGAATGATGGGATGTTCTGTATCCTGGTTGTGATGGGGTTCCACAAATCTATACAGTGTTAAAATTCATAGCAGTTACACCAAAAATGCCAATTTTACTGTATATTAATTTATAAAGATGAATTTTAAATGTACCTGAAAAATTGATCAAATGCTAATCAAGAGGAGGTTGCAGTAGCTATATTAATATCAGATAGCTTGAATTTTAGTTATAGGAGTAAAAAGAGGGAACCTTTTATAATGGTAAAGGGATCAATTCATCAAGACAACCTAAGTATACTTGCACCTGTTAGCCCTACTAATGTGTAGCAAAATACATGACACAAAACGGGACAAACTGCAAGAAGAAGCAGATCCATGATTACAGGTGATTCCAGTAATTCACAGAACACATGAAAAATCAACATGGCTACGGAAGACTTGGACTTGGCCTAACAGGTGTTCCAAGAGTACACACATTCTTGAAAAGAATTCATGGAGCATCCCCATGATAGGCCACTGCTGGCCATAACATGAGGCTCAGTAAAAAATATTATGTTTTCTGGCCAGAACAAAGCTAAACTAAGAATCAATAGAAACACACCTGGAAAATCCCAATAATCTTACCAAGGGGAATGTTTGACCAGGAGTGCCTAGGGGCCCTGGCTTTGGGCTGGCTTCCCAGAGCTGCACGTACAGGTATTAAAATTTATAGCAGGAAATGCACTTCCAGGAAACCAGGAAGGAGCCGGCAGGTGCTGAGCTACAGGGGGCAGAGCAGCTATAAATCGTTTTCCAGAAAATAAGCCTCTGGCTTAAAGTCCCACCTGACACTGAGAACAGAGGTGCAAACCCAGCCAGAACGTGGCTCTTCTCCTCCTGGGGGGAGCCTGCATTCTCCCCACTCCTGAGTGGCCAGTTGTGACCACAGCCTTTCTTGCAGGAAGCCACTCAGTGCCTGACGCCTGCCTCTCTGCCCCCTGCCAGAACGGGGGCACCTGTGTGGATGCGGACCAGGGCTACGTGTGCGAGTGCCCGGAAGGCTTCATGGGCCTGGACTGCACGGAGAGTGCGTTGGATTATACCCCAGGGCTGGGGCAGGAGGACCCAGCTTTGCCCGTGGGTAGCAAAAGCAGGGAGGGTCCTTCCATAGGGTATGCATGCAGGAAGCTCCCAAGAGAAGGTGTGTGAGGACGTGTGTGTACACACAGTGGTTGTGGGAGGGTGGCCAGGCAGGGCAGGTGGGAGAGCCCATCTTCTGTGCCCCTACAATAGGACCCTCTCCCTCCCTGTGGCAGGAATCCCCAGTGACTGTGACTGCCGCAACGGAGGCAGGTGCCTGGGTACCAACACTACCTTCTGCCAGTGCCCCCCAGGGTTCTTTGGACTCCTGTGTGAATTTGGTAGGTGTCGTGCTGGAGGTGGGGGCAGTCATCCTGCTCTGTCGAGCATCCCTATCAGCAGGGTCCCATAACCCTCACTGCCACCCTGTGTGGGAGAGGCGAGTGGCTGCAGAAGTGCTCCACCCTGGTCTCCCTAGCAGGGTCACTGGGTCTTGGGCAGCCCCACCCTTGTCGAGGACCTGAGGTCCCCAGGAATACAGGCCCACATGGGAGCATCCTCTTCCTCTCTGCAGAAGTCACAGCCACACCCTGCAACATGAACACCCAGTGCCCAGACGGAGGCTACTGCATGGAGTACGGTGGGAGCTACCTGTGTGTCTGCCACACGGGCCACAATGTCACCCACGGTTAGTGGCTCCAGAAGGGCCTGCGGGGGTCCTGGCCAAAGAGGAGGGGCGGGGTGTCCTGCAGGAGAAGGCAGCACCACGCGGGCAGGGCCAGTGCTGCTGTCTGTCCAGCAGCCCTGCAGATGGAGGGGCCTCTGGCAACAGCTTTTCCTGCAGTGTGGGCGGCGAGCTCCTGGGCGCGGAGGGAGAAAGACTTTGACCAGGACACAGGCAACAGTGTGGATTCCCTAGCCCCTCCCCCCGCAGATCTGTTGAAAGGCTTAGTGCATACATAATTAGGGTATTTGCACTTCCTACTATTTATTTGCTAGTGTCAAGATGCTTAACCTCGTGACATAATTCTGCATATATCGAGTTTGCCAGCAGTGATGATAAGACATCTGTGTGTCACAGCTCAGTGCTACCCCATGAAGAGCGAGGGTGAATTATGCTAAAACCAAGAATGAGAAATTCCAGGGAGGAGCCTTTGAGTCCACAGAATATTTTAAGTGGCCTTGGCTCCAGTCATGATTCCTAGGCGACCCTGGCAGCACATGCTCTAGGACCGGCCTCTGCGTGCCCTCCCCCCACAGCCCTGCCATCGCCCTGCGACTCAGACCCTTGCTTCAATGGAGGTTCCTGTGACTCCCACGACGACTCCTACACGTGCGAGTGCCCGCGCGGATTCCACGGCCGGCACTGCGAGAAAGGTGCCCCAGGAGGGCGGGGTCTGCGGGGACGCTGCCGGGGGCGGGGCCTGCGGGGACGCTGCCGGAGGCGGGGCCTGCGGGGACGCTGCCGGAGGCGGGGCCTGCGGGGACGCTGCCGGGGGCGGGGTCTGCGGGGATGCTGCTGGAGGCGGGGCCTGCGGGGATGCTGCCGGGGGCGGGGCCTGCGGGGATGCTGCGGGGTCAGCACCCTGGAGAGCGCCTGTGCGCAGGCCCCGGTTCTATTTCCGAGCATCTTCTGTTTTTTCCTGGGATCACTCTGGGACCTCCCTTGCGATGCTGCTCTGTCGTACTTATCCGGAGCAGCGCCTCATTATTTTGACTGTCTTTTTTGTCATTTGTTCTGATCTGCATCCCTCAGAACGGGCTTTACTTTCTTTCTGCTCAGCATTTTTCCAAATAGATCTTAGAATCATTGTATTGAGTTTTTTTTTTTTTTTAAGTATTTCATTAGAAGTTTGTTAACCTTATTACATGTGGAGAATGTAGACATTTTACAGCCTTCATCTCCCAGCATCTCAGGCATCCCTTGGCCAGAGTCCAGTGTGGTCAGGCCTTTTATCCCAGCTCAGGCCTGGGCTTCTCTGGAGAGCCAATACCCTACCTGATCCACCTAGGAGCTTCCCAGACACCTCTGCTGCTCTTCACCTGTCCCTGACAGTGGCCCCTGAGACCCCTCTGGCCTCTCCTACTCCTGCAGCAAGAAAGGGGGTTCACAAGGGAAGGGGCCCCTGCTCAGTTCTTTGCCAGACCTGCTGAGTCTCCTCCTCCATATGCTCCTGGAACCACTGCCCCCGTCCTGGGCCCTGCCCAGAACTCATCTGCACTCTCCTCCAGCAGCCCACCTCCCGTAAGGGCTGGAGGCTCCCAGAGCACGTGCCACCCCTCCCCAGGCCCGGTTCCCAGTACCCAGCATCCCTGCACCATTGTCCCTGTGCCCACCTGAGGAACTGCGTAGGCTCCCTTCAGGGGCCCCACTCCTGAGAGCAGAGGAAGCCACAGGTGTGGACAGCCCCAAGGGGGACCCAGGGAGGATTCAGGAGTCTGCTTTCAGAGGTGGGACATGCAGCTGTGAGGCCTCCCAGGGTGTAGAGTGGGGGAGAGGAGGGGTGGACTCTGAGGGATAGGAAGGCCCCCTCTTGCTATGCCTTCCTGGCAGGACAGCAAGAAATCCAAGGACCCAACTCACTAGGCCCTGTCAAGCTGTGGTGGTCAAGATGGGAGGACAGACAGACAGGTCTGATTGGCAACTGCCATTCAAATCACACCTTTAAAGCACAGGCCTCACAACCTATACTTCAGGAGCCAAGAAAGCACTGGAATCAGAACCACTGCTATGGATGGTGATGTCACATCAATCACAACTCAGCCCCCCCCCCCGCCCCCCACTTCAGATGCCAAACAGGAAGGAGGGAGCATCATGTGCTGTGGTGTGGGGCCTGCTCTCCACCAAAGAGCCCACCTGAGGCTCAATAGGGGTCTACAGACTGCAAGCCCTGCCCCCGTGTATGTCCTGGCTAACTTGGCCTCAGCCGAGAAGCAGGCCTGGCCGGCCAGGGGCAGAAAGCACGAGCAGTGGGCTGCCGGTGCTCACCATCGTCTCTGTCCTCCCACACAGCCCGGCCACACCTGTGCAGCTCAGGGCCCTGTCGGAATGGGGGCACGTGCAAGGAGTCAGGGGGCGAATACCACTGCAGCTGCCCCTACCGCTTCACCGGGAGGCACTGTGAGATCGGTGCGGCCCCAGCATGGAGTGGGGTGGCTGGCAAGCCCTGAACTGGGCCCAATCAGTTGTAATCAGCATGGGAAGAGTGGGAGGGAGCCAAACTTCCACCTGAGACCCCCAGCCCCCATCCCAGCCACCTGAGTGTGTCTCTCAGGAATACCCCATCACGAAGGCTCCCAGCCCTAGGATGTTAGGGAAGTGGGTGGGGGTGAAGGGAAGCATCTAGCCGTGACACCTGACCCTGCTGGGTGCCTTCTGCTTTCAGGGAAACCAGACTCCTGCGCCTCCGGCCCCTGTCACAACGGTGGTACCTGCTTCCACTACATTGGCAAATACAAGTGTGACTGTCCCCCAGGCTTCTCCGGGCGGCACTGTGAGATAGGTAGGGTTGGGAACAGCAGGGGAACTCTCCTATGGATATAGGCCCAGTGGGCAGGGCTGGCCTGGGTCCTGCAGGAATAGGAGGTGGATCTGGGTTCAGGAGGTAGGACACCCCCATGCATCTGAGAGCCCCTCGGGAGACTTGGTGATGGGAACCCTCCTGCTCTCTTTCAGCCCCCTCCCCCTGCTTCCGGAGCCCATGTGTAAATGGGGGCACCTGTGAGGATCTAGGCATGGATTTCTCCTGTCACTGCCAAGCAGGGTACACAGGACACCGGTGCCAGGCAGGTGAGCAATCCAGGGGACTGGGCTGGGGGCCATGCCAAGGGTGGGACCGGGCAGAGACGGGAAGGAAAAAAGGAAGGAAACCTCAGAAACTGCCAGTGCCCAAAAGTCCAGCACCTTGCTCCAGAAGGGTGCGAGCTGGGCCTCCTCAGACCCTGGGCCCAGCAGAGGAATGGCGGCTCTGGACAGGCTGCTGTGCTCTTGTTCCTGCAGAGGTGGACTGTGGCCGCCCAGAAGAGGTGAAGCATGCCACCATGCGCTTCAATGGAACTCGCCTGGGCTCGGTGGCTTTGTACACATGTGACCATGGCTACAGCCTGAGTGCCCCCAGCCACACCAGCATCTGCTTGCCGCAAGGTGTCTGGAGTCAGCTTCCCCAGTGCTTAGGTGATTTCGTGGGCCCTCAGGGGAGGGTGGACGGGACACCCCCCCCCACCAGCCAGCTTCCTCCTGGCCCAGCCCCACCTTCCCTGTCTCCTCTCTGTGCATTGGGGATGTGGATCCTGTCAACTTTACTCGGGAACATCCTCACTAAGGGCTTCCCTATCCTCAGAGTAGCTCAGAACAGAGGGTCAACCTCCTACAGGCCCACTCTGCAGATGAAGCCGCCAAGGCCAAGACGTGGCCAAGTGCAGGGTCCTAAGGAGGCAGACCCAGGCTAGGACCTGCCTCGTACTCCCACCCACCCAGACCTGTGGTGTCAGATATGTGTTTGCACAACACCCCCCGCCCCACCCCACCCCCCACAACACGCAGGGCACAGCAGAGGGCTGCCCCAGAGAGCACTGCCTCTGGGTCCTGCTGTGTCTGCTCCGGAGCTTAGGGTGCATACCTGGAGGCAGGCGGCCTCAAGACGCAGGGCTCTGACACAATGGCACGAGTGTTGCACCAAGCCAAGGCATCCAGGCTCTTCCTCCGAAAAGCTGTGTGATGTTTACATGGTTTTCATAAAACAAGGATTTCTAAGCAACAAGCTTAGGGCAGGTGGTGACATCATCCAGACAGGAATGGGGCACATAAGCCCATTAATATCTCCCAAATGTCCCCAAAGCCCAACCCACCCTGTGCAGCCCTACCCAGGTGAAGAGCTCTATGGACTGCCTGGTTCACAACCATCTGTCCTCTACTCCTGACCTCCCAAGGCTCATGCCTGACTGTCAAGAGACCTTTCCAGTGCTGCTTCTCCCCAGCTTGTTGCCACATGAGAGGCCAGTGTCCTCAAGAGAACAGGAGCTCACCAGAAAGACCCTGAGGCCCCCGAGAAGCACAGCCACTCCAGAGTAGGAAAAGAGGTCCAGACAGCAAGCCCCGGGGGTGGAGGGTGCAGAAAGCCGACTAACAGCACAAAATAGCAAGTACACTCTAGATCATGCCTGCTTCATATTGTACAGTACAAATACAGGATCCAAGTCCCGCTGTAGAGAAAGAGGCCTGAGTGCTTACAGCCACTGCACTATAAATAGTACAAAGTGACGCACAAGCCTCAACTTGGCGTTGCCCATACAAAACAGGATCAATAGTTTTTAAGGAGAAAGTATAAATAAAAGGATTTAAGACTACAATAGTTGAAATAAACATAATTTAGTAGTGGACATAGATGAAGAATAAGTTGAAGACAGTTGGAAGAAGAGGGAAAGACTGTGCATCAAAAGGAGGGTGAAGCACAGTGCCCACCCTGGATAAAGGGACCCAAGAAGAAGAGAGCCGTAATGTGTAGAGAAATATAGATATACAGAGAAGATAAATACAAGAGAGAAAACTCCTAGCAGCTGTGAGTTAAATTCCAGGATTACAGAAGAAGGATGGGTTGGAAGGACTCATGGCGCATCCCGCAGGAGGAAAGGGAGCCCAGCCACATCACAGGGAAATGCAAAGGTGCCATGGGATAATGAGAACATCTGCACATCTGGAGAGAAGAGCAGGTTACAGAGGAAAAAGAACCAACAGCAGCATCAGAAGTAAGGCCACAGGAGGTGGTTTAAACCCCAAGGAGACACACTGATCATATGGACACTTGGCATTCTGGTGTGACTTGGAAGAAACACCGCCAAGCCTAGGATCATGTCTGCTGACCTGTCCAAGATCTGGGGTGCAAGCAGTTTGGGCAAGCCCTTCGCAGGTGAGAAAGACTGCAGGTGCGTCTCTCCCCACCATGGGCAGGTGCCTTGGGGAGCAGAGCAGTCCAGCCAGCACTCGATACTGTGGGCAAGCACGGTGGAGCCGAGCACAGCCGCAGGGATTCAGGTCCCACTGGCTCTCCCCACATGACCTTCTCGGGTGCAAAGCCAGGATCCAAGGCCAGCTCTAGAGAGAGAGGCCTGAGTGGTTACAGCCACTGCAAACTGAAGCCACTTGAAGTGGTGCTGCAGGCCAAGCCAGCTCTGCTCCTGGGAGCATCCAGGAGAGTGAGAAGCTGCTCGGCCCACCTGCCTCACCCAGGGTAGGGCTCATTCCAGGGAGGAGCAGTCACCCAAGTCTCCACTGGCTTTGTGTGCTGCAGGGCTGAGAAGCAACTCAGGCCCTCACTGTGCTGTGAGCCCCACTCCCAGGCCCTGCTGTTTCTGTCCAAACTGTGTCTGAGAAGCAAGGAATCGCGATGGTAATCTAGAAGGAAATAGTCAATCCAGATAGGCCTACATGCGCCCCAGGTGTTGGAATTCACAGACGAGGAATTTAAAACGCCACTGTAGCTCAGAAGACAGAGGGGAAAAGAGGTGAAATGAATGAAATAATAGAGAACCCAACCAGGAAAAAGAAAGATTTAAATGTAACAATACAGAAATTCTAGGACTGAAAGTGCAATCTGAAATGAAGACTGAGCTGGACTCAAAGCCAGGACCACAAAGCTTCTTCATCTGTGGATCAGAGGGGAGATGAGCGGAAACAAATCATGAAAAGATGAATGCTGAAGATCAGGCAGAGATCACATGTCTGTGGGCGATCACAAACAAGTCCGTAACTGGGCCCCGGTGATAGATGACACAGTAGATAAGAGAGATATTCAGAGAGAGAATGATTTTTTTTCTAAAAACTGAAGAAATATGTCAACACAGAGATCCAAGCAGCTCAGCAAATCCCCAAAAGGATAAATATTAAAATAAACTTAAAATCTAAAAATGTGTACCCAATTGGTTGGTTGCAGGCTAAGGAGACAAACAGCAGAGAGGTAGAAGATTTGAACTGTTATGCAGGTGGACACCCAAGATAATGCATTCTCTGAACAAGCAAAAAAAAGTTAGTAGTAGCAAGGTACATTTTAAAATCTCCATGCAGATTTGAGCTATTGTATTCTATTCTTTGGTACCAGGGATTAAACCCAGGGGTGTTTTACCACTGAGCTACATCCCCAGCTCCCCCTGCCTGGCCCTTTTATCACTGTTAAGTAATTTATTTTTTAATTTGTTCTTTTCTGTATACATGACAGTAGAGTACATCTTAACATATACATACGTGGAGTACAACTTCCCATTCTTCTGGTTATAAATGATGTGGAGTTGCACTGGTCTTGTATTCATACATGGACATTGGAAAGTTATGTCCGATTCATTCTACTATCTTTCTTATTCTCATTTCCCCTCCCTTTCCTTCATTCCTCTTTGTCTAAACCAAAGTACTCTAGTCTTCCCTACCCACCCCCTATTGTGTGTTATCATCCACATATCAGAGAGAACATTTGGACTTTGGTTTCTTGTGTGGGGTTGGCTTATTTCCCTTAGCATGATAGTCTTCAATTCCATCCATTTACTACTGGCAAATGCCATAATTTCATTTCTCTTTATGGCTGAGTAATATTCCATTGTGTATACATCCACATTTTCTTTATCCATTCATCTGTTGAAGGGTACCTAGGTTGGTTCCATAAGTTAGCTATTATGAATTGAACTGCTATAAACATTGATGTGGCTGTGTGACTGTAATATGCTAATTTTAAGTCCTTTGGGTATAAACTCAGGAGTGGGATAGCTGGGTCAAATGGTGGTTCCATTCCAAATTTTCTGAGGAATCTCCATACTGCTCTCCAGAGTTGTTGCACCAATTTGCAGTCCCAATGTATAAGTGAACAATGTATAAGTGAACCTCTTTCCCCACATCCTTACTAACATTTATAGTTATTCTTGATAATTGCTACTCTGACTGGAGTGAGATGGAATCTCAGTGATAGTTTTAACCTGCATTTCTCCAATTGCTAGAGATGTTGAACATTTTTTCATATATTTGTTGACAATCATATTTCTTCTTCTGTGTAGCGCCTGTTCAGTTCCTTTGTGCATTTACTGATTGGGTTATTTGGGGGTTGGGGGGTGTTTTTGAGTTCTTTATATACCCTGGAGATTAGTGCTCTATCTCCCTAGCCCTTTTGTAAAGTTTATTTTGAGACAGGGTCTCACTGATTTGCTTAGGGCCTCCCTAAATTGCTGAGGCTGGCTTTGAACTCGTGATCCTCCTGCCCCGGCCTCCCAAGTTGCTGAGATTACAGGTGTGAGCCACCATCCCCATATTTTAAATGATGTTTTGAAATAGCTCATGAGCTGGTACCAAAACGAAAACAAAATCTATATAATTATGTGGGTAGAATATAGGTAAATATCTTTTTTACTTTTGGTTAAGGAAAGCCACAAAATGCACTTATAAAAGAAATGAATGGACTAACTTGTTCCTGCAAGAACTAGGAACTTAAGTGAGAAGTGAAACGTCAGCTGGAATCTCAAGAGGGTACAGAGGCACATGCCAGTACACACGCGCACTGATGAGGAGCTGTTTCAAGATGGTGTGAAAAATGCCAATGTGTCCATAGGAGAGAACAATCAGCCAGTATGGAAACAGGCAGGACACACAAACAGGCCTGTGGTGGAAGAAGAGACACGTGGACAACGAACATGAAAAGTCGACTTCATTAGTAATTAGGAAAATGCAAATCAGAAGTACAACGAGACATTCTGTTGGCAAAATTCCGAAGTCTAAGAAGCCTGTCTTGGTGAGAATGTGGGCCAGCGGTGTTTTGCAGATGGCTGGCGGGATGAGAGGAAGTCAGTATGAGCACTTGGATGTGGCGACTGGCCTGTTGAGCTGACCTCAGCGACCCCGCTTGGGGGGAAATCTGGAGACACTTGCACATCTATACTGGGGGCAGGTGGGGTACTTGCTGCAGCATCTGCTGTCATTGCCATAGTCTGGAACCAACACGAGTGTCCACCAGACAAGGAAGGATGAGTCTGAGGTGGTCACACACCGCAGAGACCACTGTCAAAATGCTGGGTGGGAAAGAACACACACTGTGATCTTCTACTAGTACAGGTCACAGGCAAAAGCAGAACCGCCCATTGTCTAGCCATTCACAGGGTTTTTAAAAGGCAAAGAAATCATACTTGCAAGCCAGTTCCATGAGGAGGGAGGAAGCCCAAGTGCGAGGGCACAGAGCGCCCAGCTCCCAGGCGGGTGCTGGCTCCGGCCTCCCAGGCCGTTCCTGCTCACTTGCTTTGTAGGTGTTGACATTAGACTTTCCTCAGATTGAACATCTGAACTCAGGAGCACAACTCCCAGTTTAAAAGATTCACCATACAGATTCACCACACAGAACCAGATTGGCCTCCAAATACACTGGTTTCACACAGGACTGTTGTATACTGAAATGGCAAAATTTGACACGGAACATTTTCTGCCAAACCTCGTGTGTTTTGGACCTATCCAAAATTGGAATTAAATCCGCAGTGTCTTCCGTGAGCCCTTAAGATGACCATGATCATCCCCATAATTTCATAGCCGTGGCCAGGCTCTGAGTCCTGGGGCTACAACCTGCCCCTCCCTCCGAGGGGCTTGGCCCCTGGTGTTGGCCTTTCCAAGAACTACAGGGTGTCATGGACGCTGAACCCTCAGCACTAGTTTGTGTTCATCTGAACTTGGCTTAACTAAGGGCACATGGCTTTATTCTTGGGGTCTTCCTCCCTCAGAAGTGGACGAGTGTCGGTCTCAGCCATGCCTGCATGGGGGCTCCTGCCAGGACCACGTTGCCGGGTACCTGTGCCTCTGCAGCAGAGGCTATGAGGGAGCCCACTGTGAACTGGGTAAGAGACTCCTGGGTGTGACAGTTGGAGGCACTGGGGCCCTGGCACAGCCTCCTTGCCCTAGTCATTCCTCCCCTGGATGGGTCTCTGTCCAGATGGCCAGCTTGGCTACCTCTTGCTCCCCAAGTTCCTGCCAGCTCCAGTGTCCAGGACAGAGATTTGCAGACATCTCTGCCTCCTCCTATCCTGGGGACCAAGAGCTCAACTGAGAGACACTTGCCTGAGGGCAGGTGGGGATGGCCTCACCCCTGTCCGCTGCTGCCAGCTGGCAGAGGTGGGAGGCCTGCCAGAGCGTGGCTGGATGAGCACTATGCCCCTTATGATTTTGACTCTAAGCCCAAACAGAGACACAGGTCCCTAGGAGGAGGGGCAGGCAGTGGAGGTGGCGCACCTAGGAAGGGGAGCGAGGGCTCCTGGAGGAAAGGCCCAGATGCAGAGTGGTGACCCTGGGGCTGAAGGCTCCTCCAGGAGCAGCCAGAGTCCTGAGGGACAGGCTGGTGCCTGGACTTTGTCTTCAGAGACAGATGAGTGCGGAGCGTAGCCCTGCAGGGACGGGGGCTCCTGCAGGGACCTCCCTGCCACTTGCGAGCCAGGGCTCTGCAGCTTCACTGGAGTGCACTGAGGGACAGGTGGGGGCTCCTGGGAGGGTCCCCAAACAGAGCCTGGCCTCTGGAAGATCAGGGGTGGTGGGGTCCCGTTCCCTGCTGGACACCCAGGGCGAGTGACAGCCAGGGCTCTGGCCACCTTGGGAGGGAAGTTGTGGGGAGGGCTGAGGGGGATTCCCCAGGAGCCCCTTCCACCCCGTGGGCTCCCCACACCCCTCTCTCGGCCAATGCTCCTTTCCCCCTACCCCTTCTTCCTGCTGTCCTCTCCTCCCTCCCCCAGAGCCCCCCCTGCTGCGCGGGCCAACCCTCTGGGTGTTCTCCAGAGGTGGATGCCTGTGACCCCAGCCCCTGCCAGCACGGAGGGAGGTGTGAGAACGGCGGTGGGGCCTACCTGTGCGTCTGCCCCGAGGGCTTCTTCGGTTACCACTGTGAGACAGGTAGGGTGGCAGGCCTGCCTGAGGCCCACTCCCTGGGAGGTCCTCCTCAGTCCTTGGGCAGGTGGCCCTTCCTCTGACCTCCTTGGCCCCCAGACGGTGCTTTCCAAGAGCCCCCACACACACACACCGTGTGTGGCCCTCACCTTCACCATAGTCCTGGACACCCTGAGCACACACCCACTCTGTGGCCTCGTGTCCAGCCCTGGCCCTGCTGTCCCTGGACAGACCAAGCTCCTTGTAGCCCAGACCAGACACTCTCTGTCCCTCCCATCGGGAACGGTCCCCCAATTAGCCCACAGCAGGGGCCCTCCAGGTGATGCCCTCCCTGGCCCCTGTCCGCAGTAGCCCCACTGTCCACTCCCTCCCCAGCGTTATCTGGAATGCCTCTCCCTACCTGTGTTGAGTCTCCCCTCCTACAGGAGCTACAGTGTGGTGGCCCAACTCATGGCCAGGAGGGGCCTGACCACCACCATCAGCTATGGGGAGGCAGGTGCTGTCACTGGGCCAACCCTGCCACACCCATTCACCTGGGAGCAGCCCAGTTCCCAGGAGCAAGGGGACCCAAGGACACTGGGCCTCATTGCTGTTTCCCACCTCAGTGAGTGACCCCTGCTTCTCTAGCCCCTGTGGGGGCCGCGGCTACTGCTTGGCCATCAATGGGTCCCACAGCTGCACCTGCAAAGTGGGTTTCACAGGCAAGGACTGTGCCAAAGGTGAGCAGTTAGGGGTTCAGAGGGAGAGACAGGGAGCTGGGGTTGGGGCGGCAATCCCCTTCACCAGGGGGCAGGCAGGGGACCTAGAGGTCCCCAGGGCAGAACGGGCCACTGCTTACCCAGGCTCCTCTCCTGAGAAGCAGGGAGAGGGGTGTGACCCTCCGGGAGGCCAGTACGGGCAGGAGCCAAGGACTGCAGGGGGAGGGCCGAGGGTGAGGCTCCCTGCCACAACACCTTGCTGTCCCGGCCCAGGGTTTGAAAAGGGGCGCCTGACAGGGACAAGGGTTCCTGCAGCAGCTGACCACTCCCTTCTTTTGTGTTTTGGCCCAAACCCTGAAGAGCTCCTTCCACCGACGGCCCTCAGGGTGGAGAAAGTGGAGGAGAGTGGGGTCTCCATCTCCTGGAGCCCACCCGAGGGCCCTGCCACCAGGCAGGTGCTCGATGGCTATGCGGTCACTTACGTCTCCTCCGACGGCTCCTACCGCCGCACGGACTTTGTGGACAGGAGCCGCTCCTCACACCAGCTGAGGGCTCTGGCAGCAGGCCGGGCCTACAACATCTCCGTTTTCTCCGTCAAGCGCAACACCAACAACAAGAACGACATCAGCAGGCCTGCAGCCCTGCTCACCCGCACACGTGAGTGCCCGTCAGGCACGGCCTCCGCCTACACAGGGAGTCAGCAGGCAGGGGCCGAGCTTCTCACAGGAGCAGGCGTCAAAGGCAGAGGCCGAGGCAAATGCAGGGAAGAACAGGCCCCCAGACGGAGGGCAGGGGCAGACGGGTACTGAGGACAGTAGCCCTGCGCGGGTTTCCAAAGTGAAAGCTGAAGGCTTGCGGGGCTCTGGGTAGGGGACATGGCCAAGGGGAGGGGCTCTGTCCTGTGGAAATGAGGAGTATCTCTGCTAGGACACGCCTGGGAGCCATGTGGCTCCTTCTTCTGGAGGTGTCAGCTCAGGGCACTGAGGGCTGTGACCAGTGGACGGAGCTATAGAATTGGGCTCTCCACTTGTGGGTGGGTGGAGGGGACACGAGAGTCTGGGGAGCCAGACAAGGGAAGTTCCAGAGCCCGGGAGGCAGGAGCTTGAGTGGTGGCAGTGATGGACCAACAACACTTGAAAGAGGGGAGGGAGGCTGCAGGCCACTGAGGGTGGAGAGAGGGAGCCTTCCGGAGCTGTCAAGAAAGGGTGTCAGACAGTGTCCACAAGGAGGGTGTGGCTATCAGGGGAGTGTGACAGTGGGTGTCGAGGTTCAGCTCCCTTGTCTGCTGCTGGAGACCATTCAGGGAGGAAGAGGAGTCCCTGGAACAAGCCCATGGGTGGCTGAGGAGTGGGATCTGCTGCAAGGCCAAGGGCTGGCCCTCTACCAGGTGACCAGCATCAGCTTCAACAGGAGGTTTGTGTCCAGATGGGGCCGTGGAGGCCACACCTGTGTACTTGAGAGGCAGGAGCAGTGAATGGGGAAGGGGTGCTGGAGTCTTAAGGAAGGAGGGAAGGGCCGAGGAGCTTGGACCAGGAGGGGTGAGGGTGCCTGTGGTCCAGCATGCAACCGAGCACCTGCTGGAGTCCCTGCCGCTGGCCCAGCAGGCAGTGAGAGCCAGGGACCTGTCTCGTGGACTGTGATGGGTGAGGTGGGGGGCAAAGTGGCAGGAGCTCAGAGGCTCACACCAGGAGGCACAGCTCAGCCCGGCTGGACTCTGGCAAGCAAGGGACAGGCCAAGGTCCTCAGGACACTGTGCCCACTGCAGGGGGCCCAGAGGACCTATTGTGCAGAAGGCGGCAAAGGCCAGAGGTCCCCACACACTGAGGACACAGTACACTCTATTCAGAGGAGGAGCCCTGCAGTGCACACTTGGGTGGTCCTGAGCAGGAGGCCAGCAGGGCCATCAGAGGGCTGGTGGTGGGTGGGCTCATCCCGAGCACAGTTTCAGAAAGATGCACGTGGGCGGCTTCCCAAGATGGAGTCTGCCCTCCAAAGGCATCTGGAAGAGATTGCGTCTCTCCCCTGCCCCCACTGGAGACCAGGGTCCTGTGGGAAGGGCCACTGTCCACGCCACATCCACCAGGCTGGGCACTGTGCCATGAGCCCTCTAGTCTCTCCTGGCCCCTCAGCAGCAGCCCTCAAGCTCCTGAGGACACAGAAGGTGAGGAGCTGAGCTCCCGAGCTTCCCCTCCCTGTGGTCACTGCAGACTCTGCAGCCTACATCCCCTGGGCCCAGCACTGCCCAGATGTTAACTGCTGGACCAAAACAGCACAGAGGAAAGAGAGGGTGCCCTGGTTCACTGGGGTCAGGAAGGACTCCCACCCTCACCCCACCCTCTGCACGTCACTGTCACATCTAAAGAGGGAGGCGACTCCGCCTGCCTCTAAGGGCCTGGCTGGCTCAGGGTGCCCACAGTGGGCCCTCCGCAGTTGCCATCCTGGAGGTGAGGAACCTGGGCACCTCCCCTACCCCAAAGCCCTGCTGGGCTGCTGAGGGGACAATTCTCACCAGTGGCCTCTCGGTGACCCCAGCAGCCTCTCAAGCCTTGTCTCAAGCCCTGCTTCCCCAGAAGCATGAATGTGCTGGTGTCTGCTGAACCATCTGTTGCCCCCAGGCCCCCGCCCCATTGAGGACATAGAGGTCACCAACGTGTCAGCTGATGCCATCTCAGTGCGGTGGGCTCTGCACAGGATCCATCATGCCACCGTCAGTGGAATTCGAGTGTCCATTCTCCACCCTGAGGCCACCGAGGCCCAATCCACCGAGGTGGACAAGAGCGTGGACCGACTCACGTTTGGGTAAGAGGTGGCTCCTGGGGGACACAAGGTCTCAGCTGTTCTGTGTCTGTGCACCTGCTTGTCCCTTGCCTGGGAGGGTCTGGGGCCCGGGAAAGCCAAGCTTGGTTCTGGGACGGCCCCTGCCTTGCTTCCTCACAAGGACATCTAAGGAACGCCTCACGGCAAAGTGCCCAGAGAGCTTCAGGGTCCTGGGGCAGCACCTCGGCTGCTGGAAACCAGTCATGGGGGGTGGGCGGCCAGGTTTCTTCCAGTCCCAGGGTCCACCTGCCAGAGGCCAAGTTCTGGACCCCTGCTCCAGCAGTGCTTGGGGAGGCAGAGAAACTGGAGGGGCATCTGGCTGGCAGCTTCCTGTGGCTCCTGTGTCCACAGGGTGAAGGGCATTCCCAGGGAGCAGGTGGAGGCATCTCAGCAGTGCCCAGCTCAGGGGGCTCAGAGGGGCCATGCAGAAGGTGAGCGCTGCAGGGCGAGCTTGGGGACCATGGCAAGGCCAGGTGGCCTCCAGCAGCCCCACTCCTGGGTGCCCTACCCGGGTACCTTGGAATCACCTGCACTTATGTGCCAAGACCCTTCCCCAGTGTGTGCTCTTTCCCAAGCAGGCAGACAGTCCCCGGTGCTCAGACCAGCCTGCCTGCTCTCCCCGGGCCCGCTGGTTTCTGCGGAGCCCCTTCTCTGCCCTCCTGGTCACAGGACTCCCTTCCTCGCTCCACACCCCCTTACTTCTCTCAGCTGCTCCAGGGCTGTCACTTCCGAGTCTTTCTCTAGCAGAGGTAGCCATCTTTCTCAGGGAGTTTCTGTTTTCCTTTGAATGTGCCGTGTTTCTTGATATACTCTGATTTTGTTGTTATTGTTGTTGAAACTGAATTTGAATCAAATGACATGGCACCCTTGGAACTGATGTCCCCTCTGTTTTTCCCCAGTGCTGGGATTGAACCCAGGGGCACTCCACACTGAGTTACATCCCCTTTTTGTTTTTTATTTTGAGACAGGGTCTGCTAAGTTGTAGGTCTGGCCTGGACTTGCAGTCTTCCTGCCTCAGCCTCCAGAGTGGCTTGGGTGGCAGGTGGCAGGCCTGCGCCACTAGACAGGGCCCCTGCTCTTTTCATCTGGTTTAGACTCAGGTCTCTGTTGTTTTGTTTGGCTTTGCTGTAAGCCATCCCTGCCAGGACAGTCTCTGAGGAGTTACCTTCCCATTTCCCGCCACCAGCAGTTGCTTTCGAATATCCTTGTCCTTGATGTCTGGCTGCCGAGAGGGGAAGAAAAGAACAAGGAAGCAGGAGGGCACTGGCCTTCAAATCACCAAGTCACTTTGGCTGGAGGGAGGGGCTGCCAACACAGCGCTGTCTCTGTGTCCCACCTCTGAGCAGAAGCCACATCGTGGTCCCTACTATTGGGGAAAGGATCTTCTGCCTCCTGGCTCCTGTGGGCTGTGTGCGGGCTGACCCAGGAGCACCAGGCGAGGCGGGAGGGCAGGGCCGCTCTGCTGAGCGCTGAGACTGATGGAGAGCCACCACAGGCTCTCACCCCACCTCCTCAGGAGCGGCAGGCCCTCATCAAAGTCCAGAGTGACAGGAAAGCGAGGCAGCCTCCCAGGGCTTCCTGCCCCACATCTGCCCAGATCCCTCTCCTGTTCACTGTTCAAATTCTGCTGTGATTTCCCTTGATTCACATCCCAGCTTCTTCCAAAGAAGAACCCCGTGTGGCTTATGGAAGAAACACCAGCAGGGCCCGGGAGGGCACTTGCTGACTCTGTCCCAGGACTGCCCCCAGCCAGGTTCACCAGGGGGACTGAGCACAGAGTGGCACTGGGAGCTGGGACCCACTCAGAGAAGGGACACAGGGAACATCAGCTCTCTGACCACAGTGTGGCTGCTCTCAGCACAGGACCCTGCTCAGTCCCTCACTAGACCAGACAGTGGAGGGGCTTCCCACCAGAGGAGCACCTAGGACTGCCAGCCACAGTAGGCCCCAGCCCTGGTTATCAGAGCTGGCCACGGGCCCTCACATGTCCCTGTCCTCCTCCCCACGGCAGGGCCCTGCTGCCAGGAAGGAGATACACCGTGTGGGTGGCCACCCTCAGTGGGCCTGGGGGAGCAGAGCATCCTACGGAGAGCCTGGCCTCCGTGCCACTGCACGTGTGGACACGTAAGTAGGCCAGTGTGGCCTCTGCCCCCCAGGCACCCTTGGAGAGGACTGCTTCCGGCCAGCCTCCTCAGCCCTCTCCAGAGCGTGCACAGCACCGTGAGCTCAGACCTAGACTCCCTGAGGCCTCTCCACCTAGACCATCAGGAGGGTCCCTGCACCAGGCTGGTCCGTGCCCTCTACTGGGGACATGTCCAATGTTGCCCTCAGCACCTGGCAGCTCCTCAGGGCAGTTTCCCACTCAACACTGACCAGAGAGTACAAGGATGCACACACAGTCCCGGGCTCTTGGACCATGTGACAGCCCACTCTAAGCTCCCTGGTGTCACTGGCCCCAAGTCCACCCCCAAGTGTGGAGAGCACAACAGCCACTGCGTGGGGAGGGCAGGTGGGCAGGGTGGTGAGTCTGTGAAGAGCTGGCCCAGCAGGGACGACTCTGCCTCCCCGGGCCCTGAGCTGCTGGTCCACTGTCCATGGCCCACCTCGTGGTGGCACTGGCACTGGGACCCCAGAGGATGGCGGGTTCGCTGCCTGTGCCTGGTTGCAGCAGTGGGCTCTGACGCCATTCTCAGAACTGCACCTTTGTCCCTAGTCACAGGCCTGGCTTCAGGTGAGGCTTCAGTGACCCTCTCAGATCCCACATGGCGTTCTTGTCAGAGCCCCACCACCACCCTGCCCATCACCTCCTCTGCTGTCCCTGCCTTGTCCAGGTCCCCTGCCTCCAGCAAACCTCACGGCTTCCCGAGTCACAGCCACCTCTGCCCATGTACTCTGGGACACCCCCACTCCAGGCACATCACTGGAGGCATATGTCATCAACGTGACCACAGGCCAGAGCACCAAGAGCCGCTACGTCCCCAACGGGAAGCTGGTGTCCTACACCGTTCGGGATCTGCTGCCAGGGCGGCGGTACCAGCTCTCGGTGATGGCCGTGCAGAGCAGCGGGCAGGGCCAGCGGCACAGCGAGCCCGCGCACCTCTACATCATCACGTGTGAGTGTGCGGCCAGGGCCAGAGGGTGTGTGCTCAGCCCCGTGGACACAGTCCTTGTCCAGGAAATGCGGGTGGTCATCAGTCCCCAGGCCCCTCACTGGTCTGGACCACCTAGAAACAGGTCCAGTCTGACACAGAGGAGCCTGCGTGATCGGAGGCTGGTCCTTCCTCAGGACTTACAGGACAGTGACAACAAGCCTATGAACCCCATCTCGCACAGCTCCTGGGGCAGGTCCCAGGCGGGCTGAGCAGGAAGGAGAGGGAATCAGCTGCACCTCAGGGGCCACCCAGGCCTAGCCCACAGTCATTTCTGGACACAGCGTGGGAGAGAGCAGCAGGAAGCGCCGTGAGGAGGCGGCAGAGCTGCGGGGGTGTGGAGGCTCAGGCACCAGGCCAAGGACCGGGTTTGTTCCCGGTGCGGAGGGTCCTGCCAGGGGCCACTGGGCCCCACTTGTCTTGTGCTGTTGTGGGAAGATGGGTTTCTGGGGAGTGCAGGTGCAAGGTGAGACATCAGGGGAACAGGGAGAGAGAACTGCAGACCCAGCTTTTCTTAGATCCTGCCTCCGCCTCCCGGGCCCAGGAGATGCTTTGCCAGCCAGCACAGGCTGTGAGGTTTCACACCCAGCCCTGCCACCCTGTCCGGCTCTGGGCACAGCTGCCAGGTAGAAAGGGCAGGCCAGCTGTGCACTAGGACCGCGTCACAGCCCTGTGGAGGACAGAGGCCCTGGCGGCCTGGAGGTACCCGGGCCTGGACCTGAGGTGGGAACCTGGCCTGAGGAGGTGGGTCAGGAGCAGCCGGGGTCCAGGTCCGGAGCCCAGCATGTCAGTGTCAACATGCGGTCCTCCTCAGAGGCTGTGGGGCAACGGGCTTCTCAGGCCCACACATACCTCTTGCCCCTTCCCCAAGCCTGGCAGTGTGAGCTGCCCCTTCTGCAGCAGGGTCAGATGCCGGGGGCAGCGTGGCCACTCCCCTTCCTCCCACCTGCTCTGCAGCCCCCAGAGATGGCACTGACAGACGCTGGCACCAGGGAGGACATCACCCACGGGTGCTCAGAAACAGACCGCCCCCAGTGCACCTGCCAGAGCTGCGTCTACTCAACACCCACGGCGCCCCCGGAACACCAACCCCGCCCCCGAGGTACCTGTCCCAGTCACCACCCCAGGGTGCCCAAGGGACACTGCAACCCTCGTGACCCTCCCACCCTCTGCAGCTTCTCGGAGCTTGTGGATGGAAGAAGAAGAGTAAGTGCCAGGTTCGGGGTCCTGCCCAGCACCTCAGCCACAGAGAGACCACGTGAGTGCTACGCTTCCCAGCACCAGCTCAGGGGCAGCTCAAGTGGCCACCCGGCCACTCTCACCCACTTCTTGTCCCACCGTGACAGTGGCAAGGCCTGGTCCTAAGGACCCCCAGTACCCCACCCTGTCTCCAGCCAGGGCCTCAGCCCCAGCCATGAGCAAGGCTCTGGGTCCTGGGGTCAGCACACACTGAACACAAAGGAGGGTTGGGCTGGTGAGGTCTCCACGTGGTCAGCCTGTGGGCTGGAGGTGCAGGTTGCTGACATGCCAGAGAAGACCGTCAGCCATAGGTCTAGGCACTGGGAGCTCTGCTTGTCAAGTGTGGCCTGCCAGTTCTGCTAAGGAGGCTGGGTGCTCTCATTCTTTGCTACTCAAAACGTGGTCCCTGGACCAGCAGCCTTGCCTGGGAGCTTCCAGAAGGATGGACCCTGCCCAGAACTTCTGGCCACACTATCCTGAAACACGGGAAACACGTCCCTGTCCCAGGAGTATGCAGCTACCTGGGGCCTCTGGGCTCCTGCTCGGGCCTGACGAGCCTCCGCCTCGCCCAGCACCACAGGACATGGGCACCCCTACAGACCGTCCCTTGGAAGGTTGGCCTAGCAGCAAAGAGGCGTCTGAGCCTAGAGGCCCTGTGCTCTTGCCTTCTAGCCCACAGGTGAAGGGGTGTCTAGGAACCTGCCTGAGGCAGGCTTCCCGTATGACTAACTCAGAGCTCCCTGAGATGCTGCAGGACCTGCTGGGTACAAGAATCCCCACGGGACTCTCCAGCAGAGAGCCTCATCACTGGTTCAGTGGGAATCTCCAAGGAGAGGGAGAGGAGGGCAGGGCACGGGGGCCCAAAAGCAGAGGGGCGGCAGAGGGGCCACTGCATGTGGTGAGCCAGGTGAGGGAGAGGCCGGGCCAAGGGCCTGTGGGGGCAGGATGGTCGGGCTGACCACAGGATCCAGGTGGTGGGCAGGGTGAGCTCTGGGGTACAGAGGCAGAGCTTATGGGACTCTAGCCATGGGGACAAATGTAAAATGCTCAGGGGCACAGTGAGAACACTGTACGGAGGTGACATCCCACTGAGCACAGCCCGCAGAGTAGGGCAGACACAGAAGCAGGGGTGGGGGAAGGAGCAGGCAGAGTCTGACCCTAGGAAGGACAGTCCATAGCGCCAGTCGTGAGGAGGGTGAGGCTCCTGGTGGAGCAGTCACTAGCCTTCCCCAGAGCGGCCTGATGGGGCCTGGGAAGTCGGAGCTGGGCCCTGCTGAGGGGCAGAAGGAGAGTGGGGCCTGATCCCATGGGGATGCAGCTCTGGGGCCGCAGGGCTGGTGCCAGAGCTGGGGGAGCCAGGGGTGGACGGGAAGCGGCTCAGAAAGCAGCCCTCTGGGAACCTGCGAGTGAAGCAGGGTGCCATGTGGTCGCCTGGCTTCTCCTAGAACCCACAACCCCAGTGCCACTCGGGAACACAGAAGAGGCCCCCCAGCAGACCCACGTGGTCCTCCAGCTCCCCAAAGACAGCGACAAGGATGCTGAAAGTAAGTTGACAGTGGTGGAGGGGACCCAGGGCTGACTGCTGCTGGACCCCCAGTGAGGGGTCCACAGGGCTGCCTAAGGGACAGCCAGGCACCCAGCCTGGACAGGGCAGGGCAGACTACACCACCTGGGGTGGTGACTCATCCTGCCAGACAGCGAGGAGACCAGGGCCTCTGCTAGAAGGGCTGGCCCTGCCTCCAGCAGCTGGCCTCCCCCCCAGGCACCACTGCCTTGCTCCTCCTCAGGGGAAGCCCCAAGTCAGCACCGTGAGAAGGGTGGAGGGAGTCACACCGAGCCTCGCCGGTGGGGTGCCTCCCAGCCTGGGCAACATGCGGGCCACACAGGGCCTGGCCTGCCGCTGTGCCTTGTGAAAGCCACGGCCAAACACCACGCAGGGCAGGGACAGGACAGATGCCAGTTCCTTACACTGACTACCACTCTGCTCCCCGACTTCTGCCCTCTAGGACAGTCCAGAACCTAGTGGCCCCTTCTCCCCTAGTCACACTGTGGACTCAGGTTAGGCTCACCCATCAACCAACCCCAGAGAAGCAGGTCCTTGATAAAGACGTGGCCTCTGTGGGTGGTCTCACAGCAAGGCCCTGCCCCTGGACACACCTGTTCAGGGCAGCTGCAGCGCAGAGGGTGCTTCCAAGCCTACATCTAGCCCAGCACTGTCCCCTCACCACATGAGGTCTGACAGACTCCTGGGCTGTGAGCACCAGGAGGGCGGGCTTGTGTGTCAGCGGCCAGCAGTGAGGGACACTGCTTTTGATGGAGTAAAGCAAACTTTCCATCACATGGTTTGTGTCTGTCAGCCCTTTAAGTACCAGATGTTCCATTCAGTAAAACCCAGAAATGAGAAGAGCCCAAGCTGGCTCATCCGGCTGCCCCCACAGGGCTGCCCCCAGGCCACTGCCATTTGCATTGCTTGTCCTGCTGAGGTGCAGGATGATTCTAAATGAGGAGATGAAAACAGTAGCTCAGGTGTGCAGGACTGGTCACCATCCCTGGTCTTCCCTGCACTCTCCTGTGGCCCCTTTATCATTCCCCGTGTGTCCTGATGGGGTTTCTTTGCAAAGACAAGAGCCTTCTCTGGGCTTTGGATACTGCTGGCTAGACCCTAATGGGCGGTGCAGTGTCCTCACATGCTGCGGAGCATGGCGGCATGGAGAGGGCTCCCGGGTCTCCCCACCCGCTCCCTGTACCCAGGCCTGAGGCTTGTGAGTGACTGGCATTGCCAGAGGCGCTGTGGATGCTCCTGACCAGGTTTCCCAGGAGTCCCACATCAGGGTTCCTTCTCCACATGCCAAAGAGTAGACACGCTGGATCTTGGTGTGTGAGGACATCAAGCTGTCTCTTAGCAGTGACGGCTGCCCGTGGGCACTCAAGCGGGGACTGCCAGTCCCCAGCACTGGTCTTGCTGGGTTAGGAAGTCTTATACAGAATACAGATGTATTACACAGTTTCATATTACTATAAATAGTAGTTTTCAAATTGCATTTCCCAATTATTTATTCTTGGAGTATAGGTATTTATTTGGCCTTTACATTGTGACCTCCCACCCAACCATCCTGCCAAACGCTCTGATTCTTATCATAGATTCTCGGGGTTTTCTATATATACAATCATATCACTTAAAGCTTAATTGTCTGCCTTTTAAACTCAGACTTATAACTCACCTGATTGTCCTACTGTAAAGCACAAATCAGGGTGAGCGTAGTGGCACATACCTGTAACTGCTGCAGCTCAGGAGGCTAAGGCAGAAGGATCACAAGTTCAAAGCCAGCCTCAGCAACTTAGTAAGACCCTGTCCCAAATTTTAGAAGAAACCAAAAAACAAAACAAACGGCTGGGGATATAGCTCAGTGGTAAAGTGCCTCTGGGTTAAATCTCCAGAACTGCCTCAAAAAAATAAAAATAAAAACAGTATAAATAGCTCTTTTTATGGACAACTGTCCTTCCAGAGTCCTTTCTTGACTGTCCTTCCCATGCTGCCAATCAAGTGTTCATGCACACGAGTCCATGCTGGCCTGGCTCCTCTGATCCACTGGCGTTCTCTGAGCCAGTCCACCCTATTTAATATTGGAACCTTACATCTGACTTGCTAGACGCGGCCAGTCTTCCCACCTTGACCTTGGAGAAAGCCTCAACTATCCCTGACCCCTTTACATGTCAGCTGATCAAGTTCCACAGAGCACTTGCTGGGACTTCGAGACCCTGTGAACCTGAGAACACTCTCATGAGCCCCCACATGTGCAGTGCAGTGTGGTGGAAGTGGAGTCCCACGTCTGGGTTCCTTCTCCACTGCCACCCCGGGCCTGGTCCTGTTACCTGTGGTATCCATCATGCTCCTGTTTCTTTGCAAGGCAATTCGCTCCTTCTCTCTCAAAGCTGTTAGACTGATTTCTCAAGAAAAGGAGGACCCCAGAGAGCCCGCACCCACAAAGCACAGTTAATATTCCCAATGAGCTTGCCCTTGCCAAGCAACCATCCTGTCCCGGTGCACCTTCCAGCCTGAGAGGGGACCTCATCGAGAGGAGTTGGGTTCCCAAGACCAGAGTCAGTCACCCTGAGGGTCTGCAGGTGCAGAAGTCAAAGAGTGCTAAGACCGGTCAAATGATCCCCTCCACCCCATTCGCCCCAACTCCACTCGGGGCTTCTGCTCTGTTCTGATTTTATCACCAAGGACACTATCCCAATGGCCTGAATAGATGCCACCAGAAGGACAGGCAGGCGCTGCCCCTAGGTGACACCAGGCAAGGGACACTGTCCCTAGGTGAAACTGGGCAAGGGCAGGGACTGAAGCGCGCTGCTTGGTCATTCGTCCTGCATGGGAGCAGCTCAGTGCCCAGCCCCCAGGTGCACCCACACCCTGTTCCCTACCCAGTTCAAAGCAGCCTTCTCCCTGTGTATGTGGGTGTGACAGTAAATTCGGGATCTCCTGGAGATGGCCATAGGGAACAGGCTGCAGGGTCAGCGCTGTACCCTCCTGCCTTCTTGTGGCCACACAAGCTGCAGCGTTGGGCCTCATCAGTCCACAGAGGAATAAGTTCAAGCATGGTCTCTGTAGGCACACCTGTCCCATTGCAGAGGGTTAGAAATGATGACTGTATGAACTGGACATTAGGTGTCCTCTCAAAAGCTCATTCTAGACAATGCAGGAATGTTTAGAGGTGAGATGCTTAGATCATGAGCACTGTAAACTCATCAGTGGGTTGATCTTTGACGGGTTAATAATCTGAATGGACTACTGGATGCTAACTACAGGCAGAATGGGCGTGGCTGGAAGAAGGCCACTGGGAGTGTGATCTCAGGAACCAGATCATGTCCCTGGCTCCTCTCCCTCTGTGTTCCCCGGCTCTGCCATAAGCTCAGCAGCTCTTCTCCAACATGCCCTGCTGTCAAATGGGGGCCCACGTGGTCTGTGGACATCTCATTAAAGCTGCCTCATCTCAGGCCAGAGCATAGAGCTGACCAACCATGGACCGACCTTCTGAAACCATGAGCCAAAATAAGCCTTACCTCCTCTGAGTTGTTTTTAATCAGGTATTTTGGTCTCAGCAATGAAAACCTGACTAACACAATGACACAAGCTTGTAGATCCTTAATACCCGACACACTGCCATATTCTGTAGGGCTTCTGTAAAATCTCTCTAGACCATTGTGTACAGTGTCTAAAATTCAAATGGAATTGCAAGGGAAGGAAGGAGGGAGGGAGGGAGAGAAGGAAGGAGGGAGGGAGGAAAGGAACGAAGGAAGATAGAGCTGAAAGATTTAGAAAGTAGAAGGACTCCATTTCTAATGTCAAAGCTGACTATGAAGCCATAGGAATCAAGTCACTGTGGTCCTGCTGAATGGTGAGCACTTAGATCAGTGCTCAGATAACTGGATGTCCACACGTGGAGGTGAAGTGGACCCTCACCTCACACCGATGACCTAAGGCCCTAAGTCACACAGGATGGATCCACGTATTAGAGTTAAAATCAAAACTCTTGATAGAGTGGGTAGGGGTGATGGTGCTGGGGACTGATTAGAGCAAATTATATTCCATACTTTAATACTTATGTCAAAATGAACCTAATGTTATGTATAATTAAAAAGAACCAATAAAAAGAAAAAAAAATCAAAACTCTTAGAAGAAAACAGGAATAAATCTTCACCTTAGTTCTGGCAGAGGATTCTTAGATAAAACACCAAACACATAACAACAAAAGGAAAATTGGACTTCATCAAAAATCCAAGACTTCGGTGCTTCAAAGATCACCACCAAGAAAGTGGAAGACACCCACAGAATGGGTAAACAAGGGACGTGTATCTAAAATACATCAAGAACCCAGTTTAAAAATGAGCAAAGAAAATGAAGGAATACTTCTCCAAGGAATGCACATAAATCGCCAGTAAGCACAGGAAAAGACGCCTGATGTCCCTCACCAGAGGACGGCTGGCCCCAGGACAGCAAGCATTGGCAAGGGTGTGGACATGGCACCGGCTTGCCACTGCCAGGAGGCCAGTGCTGTGGCTCCTCAGAGGAGTAAACCAGAGGGATCACATGGCCAGCAAGCCCACTGACACCTGCCCCCAGGAGAAATGGACACTGCATGCACACGAGGCCTCACAAGTGGATGGACACAGCAGCACCACCACCACCACCACAGGCAGAAACACCCATGCCTGACGGTTGCTGGAGGGAGACCCCCCACGGCACCACTCCAATCAGAGGACAGCTGAGGTGACAGGCACACAGCGCTGCTACACACTACCACCTGGGTGTGTCTGGAGACACGCTGAGTGGAGGGCCAGCTACAAAAGACCACGTGCAAAAGGCTCCCACGTGCAGCCAAGTCCAGAAGAAGAGACTGTGAAGACACAAAGCCGCTCAGGGGCTGCTTAGGACAGGGTGGAGGCTCAAGGTGGACAGGGGGAACTAAAAGCCACACCTTCTTTCTGGAAGGGACTGACTATGGTGACAAGGAACTGCACATGTCAAATGGGGGCCCACGTGGTCTGTGGACATCTCATTAAAGTAAAGCCACAGGCTGCAGTGTGTTTGGTGTGCTGTCGTACGGGAAACAAGAGGGGAATATGAATACGTGTTTTTATTATGTTTAGGAAGAAAACTAACAAAGAGTGTGAGCTATTCATGGAAGGAAAGAGCAGGGAAAGGGATGGACAGAGTCTAATCTTCTCTGAATATATCGACCTTGTTGCATAGTTTTGACTTTTGAACCAAGAAAAATATTTTTAAACAACAAAAAAGAAAAGTCAGGGGGCTGGGGCTGGGGCTGGGGCTGGGGCTCAGTGGTAGAGCACTTCCCTAGCAGGTGTGAGGCCCTGGGAATACCAGAATAAACCCACGACTTGTTTATTTTTTAAAACTCTAGTTTCCTTGTCCTATTCACTGGAAAGCCTGAGACAGAGGCAGCTCAGGAGTGGGGATCTCTCAGAGCACCTGACTGTGGGTCCAAACCCATCTCCTTGGAGGAAGGGGCTCTGGAGAAATGGCTGATTCCAAGACTGCAGCAGGATGTGGACAAAAGTGACCAGGCACAAACCGTCAGGCAACAAGCGCACATCCAAAGTCAACAGGCACCTTGCCAGGGGCCAAAGAGCCAGCCTGAAAGGGTTCCCACCGCCCAAGACAGGATGGCTTGAGCACCAAGAAACGTGACAGCACCAGCCAGAAGCAACAGGGGCATCCAGAGCTGAGTACATCAACACTCAGAAGGAAAGACTCGCCAGTCAGCATGGACACAGCCGTGGTCTTCCACGCTAGAGAGTTCCTGGTAACTGGTCATGCAGAGCACTGCGGTCTACGTACAGACACAAGCAGCAGAGGGAAGACAGGGTTGAGCACTGGCCCTTCTTGCAGGTGTGCACCTTCATCTCAGTCCTCAGGGCGGTGAGGAAAGCGCATCCTTGCAGGCCCCTGGCAAGCTGGTAAAGGCAGGAGCAACAGCCAGTGCAGACAGGGCTTTCTGGCTTAGGAGGACCCGGGTCTCCAGGGAAGGCTGCCAGTGCCCAACTGTGATCTGTCGCGCACCACTCAAGTGGGACTTGGCACCTGGCTGGCCTCCTACATGTCCAAGGATGACAAGCACCCTGCGGAACAGTCCTGCAAAGGGCATGGAACCTGAGTCCCCTTGCGCCCTTCTCTGATGAAGAACAAGTTGGTCCACTAAAAGTAGTAGGTCAGATCCAGGAGGGCACTTGAGGGAAATGGCCTTGCTTCTCTTAACAGAGGTAGAAGACCAGGGGTGCAGATGGAGACCCGAGACATATCAGGCACAGGCAGCATGCAGGCCCTCACAAACCCTCGTCTGTTAGCCCAGCTGTAAGTGGCACTTTAAGGTGGACACAGCCTCAGTCTTCCATGCTAGAGAGTTCCTGGTAACTGGTCATGCAGAGCACTGCAGTCTACGTACAAACACTGCTGGCTGTCCACAGGAGAAAGGGGACATGAGAACGGCCCTGCGGTTATTCAGGGTAACAGACGAGTGTGAAGCGCCTGGGGTCTCCCTATTCCACACACTGTCAGTTTGGAAAGTTCACGATGAAGGTGTTTTTAAGCCCACAATTCATTTTAAGTACATCAAGAAGGACAAAAGGAAGGCCCAGAAGACGGCAGGGGGAGGGAAGAAGGCAAAGTGGATCCAATGGGGACGGAGGAGGGGGGCAGTGACCTGCAGGGGCAGCAAGGTCTTCCCACGGCCATGAACCATGGGATTGGAACTTGGAGAAGCCTTTGAGGAACATGCTGCAAGTGTCGGGCAGGTGGGGCTCCATTAGATGGTGTGATGGAGACTGAGACTCCTGCAGGACCAGACGTAGGGGAAGGCCAATTCTTACTCTTTTGTGCTTTAAGTTAAAATAAAATAACAGGTGTCTTTAAAAATAATGACAAAAATAGGGCCAGAATGTATTCAGGGATGGAGGCCAGGCCAGGCCAGGCCAGCTCCTCCCAGGCAGCACTGCTGACCACCTTGGCCTCCACTACAGCAAGATGCGATGTGCTAGGAGGTGGGCAGCCGCCACTCACAGGGGCACAGGTGCAGTTCTGCACACAGGGCTGTCTGGGGCTGGGGATGTGGTGGAGAAGTCTCTGCCAACTGGGGGCAGACACTCAGAGACAGAAGGGTCTCGAGGTCCAGGCAGAAGCAGCCGTGTGTAGGGGTGAAAGCAGACAACCTGGGGGTGGCCGCAAGCCAGGTGGCTCACACAGGAGGCCGTGGGCTCTCTCCTCCCTGCTCCCTGAGTCATCAGGTCAGGGCCAGCACACCGAGGCCCATATTCCCTTCTCTGCTGTCTGTGTCACGAGCCCACAGCAGCAGGGCACAGAAGGCCAAAGCAGGAGGGAAAAGCCTGTCACGGCTGCCCTCGAGCACCCAGTCAGGTGCGGCAGGCTCCCTAGGACTGGGGGCCGACCTCTCCTGGTCTGTTTCCAGGCGCCCCTGAGAGCTGCTCAGAAGGTGCCTGTCAGAATGGAGGCACCTGTGTGCCAGGTGCGGATGCCCACCACTGTGACTGCGGGCCAGGCTTCAAAGGCAGGCGCTGTGAGCTCGGTAAGTCAGGGCTGGCCACCCAGCTGGGAACTGGCCTCCAGAGCCTCTTACAGCAGTGTCACCAGGCCCTGGCAGGCTGGGCTCAGGTGGCTTTGTCCCAGGCCTTCCAAACTGAAGGGCCAGAACAGAGGCCTAGAGCATCCGGGGACAGAGGCTGACAGGCGAGGAAACCAAGGAATGATGTGAGTCCCAGGGTGAAAGGTGGCCCTTGGCTGCAGGGACTGAGAAAAGCCAAGAACGGCAGCCACAAGCAGCGGCCGTGCCACAGTGGGGTGAGGCTGCAGGAGACAAGAGAGTCCATGGGAGGGACACAGGCTCCTTTGGACTGAGTGTCCAGGTTGGGGGCAGAACCCCCTACACCACTATACTAGCCTGCAGGCTACGAGGTCACCCCAGCCAGGGCAGTCTCTGCAGATGTTGGGCAGCCCTGGGAGGAGGTCACTTCCCAGGGGGAAGCTGGCACAGATCCCCAGGCCCAACAGGGTCTGAGAAAAGCTGCCTGGGTCTCCCTCGGGCAGGGGTCTCTCGCGAGGGCAGGAAGAGAGTTCCTGTGGCATGGAGCCTCCTTCTAAGCCTCTGCCCTTCTCCTTTGTGCCGGCAGCCTGTAAAAAGGTGCCCCGCCCCTGCACTCGACTGTTCTCGGAGACAAAGTCCTTTCCGGTCTGGGAGGGAGCCGTCTGCCACCACGTGTAAGTTGGCTTCTGGTGATGCTGACAGGGTCTTCACTTTCCAGAGTGCTGTCTTACTAACCCCGAGGGACGGAGGCTGCAGAAGACACTGGCTTGGATGGCTCAGGCCCACCACATAGCAAACCAGGGGCTTGAGGCAGAGGAATGGGCCTAGGCCCCTGCGGCTCAGGAACAGTGGCTGAGAAGAGCTGGTCCCTGTCTCTCAAGCCCTTGGCTCTCCTCTACACCCCCTAGGCCCCAGTGGACAGAGGGTCCTATGCCCAAGGATTCCAGGACCTGACCTCCCTCTCTTCATCACAGTCCCTGGAAAACAAATGGCACATGGTAACTTTGAGTCCAGCACTGCCACTGACTCATGATGTGGTCTTGGACAAGTCACCCATGTCTCCGTTTCCTCATCTGTAAAGCAGGCTGTGGAGGGACAGTTACCTCATTCATCTCTTGGGACCTCCCCCCAAATCCTGTGACTCTAGGTGGTACTCAGTCATTTAGGCACACCCTGACAGCACTGTTGTGTGCCAGGGTGCTGCAGGCACAGTCCACCAGGGACATGGGCATTCAGGCTGACAGGGTGCTGCAGGCACAGCCCACCAGGGACATGGGCATTGGTGCCATGCAGTCACAGAAGGTGGTGAGTGCTAAGGAAGGAAGGGAGAGAGGAAGTGAGGCTAGGGGAGCCAGGTGAAGGCCATGCTACATCAGACAGGTGACTAAGGTGGGCCTCAGGGATGAGGCGACACCGAGCAGATGTGGAGGCAGTGGGAAGGAAGAAGGTTCCGGAAGGAGCATCCCTTTTTGGTCCTGCATCACGTATGCCTGGCATGTCTGAGAACAGCAGAGGAGTGGCGCGAGGACACCCCATAAGGATGGTGGTGTTTGCTGTCCATGAAGTGAGGAGTGACTGAAGGTCACTCAGCAGAGGAGGGACGTGTGGCAGCACTTCATAGACTGCTCTGGATGCTCCACAGAGGAGGAGAGGTGGCAGCAAGGGCAGAGAGCTTTGTTTGAGCTGGACGTGAAGCCAGGCTGAGGACAGAGCAGAGGCAGTACCAAGCTGCAGGGCACAGAGGCTGTGTGACGCCACTGGCCTGGACTCTGTGGGGGCAGTCCCCAGCTGCTGGACTGGGCTGGTCCCAACACTGCCTGCAGCCTTGTCATGTCCCCAGCATGCCTACAGGAAAGCCTCCATTCCCAAAGGCCTTCTGCCCTTTCACTGGGAACCTGCCTGTACCTTTGAAGTGACCTTGTATTGAACATACAGCAGCCTTGCTTCACATCCAGGGTGACATCTCTGCTTTCTGTCACTGTTTAGACCATTCACATCATTCTTAGATAATGGCGATGTGGCTGTTGGCTATTTTTTTCTATTTATCCCATCTTTCTGCATGACTTTTTCTTCTTTCCCTCCTAGTTCAGGATTAATTATTCAGGGCTTGCTGGTCCCTCCTCTTTGGCTCATTGTTACTCAGGAGTTGCTGCAAGGTTTTCAATATGCACCTTCAACTTATCAGGACCTGCCTTTCCTGTCTGTGGCCGACCGCAGCTTAGGGGAGACTCCTGCAACTGTCATCCTTTGAATCACCCTCAGCCTCTTCCTTCACACACACCACCAACTGCCAACGCCGATGCTGCTCTCAGCACTGTTTTCCACATGCTGAGTGAGTCCTCTACAGCCAGGGCACACCCACCAGCCCAGCTCACCGCCCCGTGCATCACGCCCTCAGCCTAAACAATGGGACTCTTCTTACAGCACAGGTCTGCTGGTGACCAATTCTCTGCTTGTTTGTCTGAAAAGGTTATTTCACCTTTTTTTCTGAAGAAATGTGGTTAGATACAGAATTACTGTTTGATACAGTTTTTCCTCCAGCACTTTACCTGCAGAGACACGGCCCCTCTCACCGGGCCCCACTCCACACAAGGTGTCCTACACCCGGGCCCTTTCGCACTCTCTCGGGGACTGTCTTTGGCCAACCTGATGATGTGGCTCTCGGTGTGCATCCTCTGGAACGGTTAAGCTCTTGCATCTCGGGTGTTCACTTGTGTCACATCTGGAATGTGTGGACCCCGCTTCTCTGTGCGTTTTCCCTGCCCCTTCACTTCTCTCCTGTTAGGACAGTGCTGGGCTGGTGCTGTCACCATGTTCTTCCCATTGTTCAGATGTGCCACCTCTGCAGTCAGGGCCATCGACTTTGCTTTTGCATCACCCACACAGCTGTGTGCAACTCTAGCAATTCCACTCGCTCCTTCTCTAGCCCACCACCACTCCCTTCATCGTGAGAAGCTTCTCCTTTAGATCACCAAACACATGGCACAAACTTAGATCTGTCTTCAGGGCCGTTTCTGGCCTTTTTCTGTTCAATTCTTTTTCTCCAGGATAGGGGTCATTTTTTTTTTAATTCTTCACATGATTCTTTGAACGTCTTATAAATTTTCATAGAATGCTGAACATTAAAAAGGTGCCAAACTGTTTCATTTTTGTATTTCTTTTCAAGAATATTCTCTCTGCAAGGCAGTTCTGGGTATGATTTGGTCTTCCTGAGGCTTGCTGTGCAGTAGCTTTGTCCTGGCACGGTTTCACCCTTCTCTGCTTTGGCTCTCAGGGTGACCAGCTCCTCAGTGGACTTGCCCAGCTTCATGGGTACTCTGGCCATACAAAGTGTGACCCTGAACCTATCTGCAACTCTGCCCTAGCCCTGCTGCCGGCCAACATGCAGGTGACCCTGTGCCTGTCTCCCTCTTCCCAGGCTTGCTGTTTCCTAACACCTGAAGACAGTTACTTCCTGTATCTGTCCAGCTCTCTGGGAGTTCCTTCCATAGTTGACCACTCTCTGGAGGCCAGAGTGGAAGTCTTACCAAGGCTACAGACTGGTGTGGGCTGCAGCTTTGCCCACACCAGCGCTGCAGCTCCTTAGGCCTCTTCTAAAGGGCTCTCACACTAAACACCTTCCCCTCCTATCATCTTCAGATTCCTTGTGACAAGAGGTGGCATAAGTCTCCCAAGGACACAAAATGGGTGCGACAGAGTCAAAGAAGCCTGATCAAGGCGCCCTGGCTAATAATGGGAGAGGAGGCAGAAACCAAGTCTCTGGCCCTCCACTGCTGCCTCTGCAGCCTGCAGCCCAGGTGGCTTGGCCTTCTCCAAAGTCTAAACAGCAGAGCGGGAGGGTCAGAGCCTAGGGACAGGGCCAAGGGGCCTGCCTTCAGCAGTCATTATGTTGGAACTCATTTCACTTCCGGTGCCACGTGGCTTTGCCAGCAGTCGTGAAGTGCACTCTGAAACGGTATACCTCACATGTCAATTGTGTTCAGTACAGCTGATCTTAAATCACATGGCTTCTACGTTGGGCACTTTAACACACCCACAGGCAACCTCTAGTCAGGAAACAGTGGTCTTTCCCTCGAACACCTCTGCACTCACAGGTGGTCCACAGCCCAAGTAGGTGGGCAGCACACTCTTCGGCGTCCAGTTTCACAGAATTTTCTTGTGACAACAGGTACAAAAGAGTCTACAAAGTTCACCAAGATGTCTGCTTCAAAGAGCACTGTGAGAGTACCAGCCTCAAGAAGCCCCATACAGGTAAACCTGGGTCCAACCTATGTCCTGCATACAGCTCGCAGGGTGATGGGCAGGGGTGGTGCCATGCATGCCTGAGACTGTGTGTGGGTGAGATCTGGGCATGGTGAGTGCGGGTGTCACTCGGCTCCTGCAGGAGCGAGACGCTCCGGGGAGAAGCGTAGAGCACTCCTGGCAGGCCAAGTGCACAACAACAGAAACAGAAAAGACCTTTTTAACCTTTGCTCATTTACACCCAGGTTCCGTCCCCAAAGGGTTCAAGGTGCTCACAAGTACTCTTTGGGGTTTTACTGAAAGAAGTGCCTGAGAACATTATATGCTTTCAAAATCAGAGCCCCAATCTCAGTCTCATTCTTCAAGACCCACTGTGGCCCCACACCTTTGCTGGCTTGGCCGAGTAGAGTACTAAGCCCCGGCGCTGCTCAGCCTGAGTATGAGGCCTCACCCCGAGGCCACTCCTGCTTCCTCCTGCCCACCCCCCCACTCTCCACGCCCTCCCCAGCTAGGCTGTGTCCTCTCCTTCCACAGCCACGGCCTCCAGACAGGGGCATGAAACACATGAGCAAGAGGGCAGAGTGAGGCAGGACTAAGGGCACAGAAGTCTCCTCATTAAGCCCTTTTCCTAGTTGTTTCAGGAAACAAAGTAACCGTCAAACACTGAAGAAACAAAAGGTACCATTCCCCTGTGCCCCGAGAGCTGCTGGGAAGAGGGAGAGGAGCCCACCTACCCGGGGCCTCTGAGAGCGCTGCCACTCCCTAGGCCCTGCTAACGCCTCAGGCCAGGTGGCTTCAGGTCCCTGACTCAGGCCTCCCAGCAGACAGAGCCTGGCTGAGCCACAGACCCAAACTCATCTCCAGGAGGAAGTGAGGCTCTGGGGTGAGGGCATATCCTGCCTTCTCTCAAGGGAACACGGAGCAGCTGCCACAGGGGCTCACAGAAAGCTGGAAGACCACCCGGCACCTGGAGGGAGGAGACCACATGGAGGGAGGGCCTGAGGTGCTGAGGAATTCTGGGGAAACCCCAGAATGGTATTATACTGGAAGCTAAAATGGAGGCCTTAGTCAAGAAACATTTGGCAAGTCCTGAAGACGGTCCCCGACCAAGACGGTCACATGAGACACTGGAATTCTAAGCATCGTGAACTCTGGGATGGAAGAAATTTCACCTTTGTTCAATCCAGCATTTCCCAAACTCTCTTGGCAAACAAACCCCACCCAACCCCGGGCTCCCTACACGCCACTCTGCTGGCACTCTTCACAACACTGTGGAGACCCCGTGAAGCTCTCAGCTCCACCTCTCCAAGAGCCCACAGAGCCTGCCTTCCTAGCACTGGGGGACAGGGAGGCTCTGTGGTCATGGGCCCTTTCAGGGTCCTTACTTCTGGGCTGAGAAAACAGAATGTCTAAAAAGCCAAGGAGCATTCCAGCTGGCTCATACACTGAGGGAAAGACAAGCTCCCCCGGGCCCCCGGAGACCTCGCAAGCAGCAGGGTCCCATCTCAGATGGGACTTCTCTCTGCGAAAGCAGCCGACAGTGCTGGGCTCCTTCCACTCTGGGCACCACCTGCCCTGCTGACTCTGCCTCTAAGGACACACAAACAGACAGTCGAGGCAGTCCAACCCTGGTGAGGTCAAGAGCCCACATACACCATCTGGGTGGGAAATATCTGCATGGCAGTAAGTCTCCTGAAATATTATGCATCTTTTTAAAAGCTCACCTAGCAAACCCATTTCCATAGAAACAAATGAGAAACCCCCAGCTAATGATGGATCACCAGCTGTGGAGCACACCTGTTCTTAGGACACGCTGGGGCAAACACAAGCAGGAAACAGGAGCACACCACTCAGACGCCGCCAGGAACCACATGGAGACTCCTTCAACACAGAGCAGCCTGGTCAGTGCCCAGTGGAGGTGGGTGGAGGGGCAGCCACCTGCCGATGCCAGTCTAAGAACCCAGTGCCCGCTCAGGTTCCCAGGGTGGGCACAGGTCCTCCCCCACTCCAGGCCCTGTCCCCCTGCACTCAGGCCAGGCTTGGGCTCAAAGGGCAGCGGGGAGGGCATGCCTGATGCTCTTCTCATGTCTGGATCTGTTGACCCTTCAAAGGACTTGGGACGAGCTCACTACACTCCACCCACCTTAGGAGTTTCCAAAACCTAGGAAGATGAGCTCTAAAAACTGGATACAGAAAAGGATACAGAAACAAGGCCCTGGATGGGTCAGTTCCCTTTGTGACCTCTGGCCTCAGGCCTCTAGAAAACAGATGGCCAGGCCTGCACACACACCAGCCCCCAAGAGTCACTGAAGCACCTACGATCTAGCGCAAGCTATGGCATCCCTGAGCATGGTCTATCCTCCACGCAGCTGGCCTAGCGGGGCCATTAACATCACTTCTGCAGTGCTTAGAAACCAGCCCTCAGATTCCAGTGTGAGAAAGGTCTCCCGAACCAGGAGGAGGACAGACTTCTACCACAGACGTGGGCAGTGGGGAAGTGGAGACAAGGTGAATCCTCCTACCTGCTGCACATCATTCATGCTGCATATGGTCCATGCATTTGGAGGTGGAAGTGTTCATTACTACCAAAATGGAGCTTGGACAGTTTCAGGCTGCACCGTGATTGCAGACTCCTTGTGCAGGGCAGTGAATGCTTCTGGCTTGCAGATCAGAGGCTCTGTGGCCACTGCTCAGCTCTGCCTCTGCAGCATAGCCATGGGTGTGCAGCTGAATGTGCGTGGCTGTGCTCCCCTGAAGCTCCACTCAAAAGAACAGTCACAGGGTGGACCTCTCATCTGTGAGGTCACCCAGGCTTTGGCCTCATGTAGTGGAAGCCATCCCCTGGGTGACAAGTCACCACCAAGGCTCCAAAGACCCACAGAAGACTTACACAGAAAAAAAAAAAAAAAACCCTCCTCAGAAAGCCAAGGCACACCACCGTGAAGCAGCAAGTTCTTCTCGCCAGTCTGAAGGTAACAGAGGAACGCTCTGGGCAGGCTGGACGAGACCACATGCAGGGGTCCTTTTAGTCCATGACCAGAGCAGACCTCTGGGGCCTCCAGGTAGAAACACAGCCTACCACACATCATAGAGCACGTGTGCGCCCCAGCACCACCCCACACAGCTGTCTTCTCCCTGCAGTAGTCAGGCCCCCTTTCTCAGTGGAGGACAGCCACTCACACAACTAGAAATGAAGCACAGTCACATCATGCCAGAGGCCTCCTCCCTCCTGGGGTCTATAAAAGCATTCTTTGAAGAGGTGCATTTTAGATTTAACTGAAATGGTGTGTGCACACCTGTGCACTGTGAAGTTTGCTGTTTTCAGAAGGGAGGAAGAATGATTCAAGAAAAACCCTACTGTGCCCTGCAAACATCCAAGGACAGATGGCCCCAGACACAGTTAGTCAGAAGCCAGTCCACAGACATGCAGGCTGACCTCCACTGCAGCACCAGGCCCATCACTGTCCCTCTACATGACACCCCAGATCACTAGGAAATAGCAGGACCAAGGTCACCCCACGATAGGAGATGAGACTTTCTCTACCACACTGAAGACCAAGACCCTTAGCCACCAGCCAGCCATGACCTGGACCCGGGTGTTAGCTCAGAGTCTTTGTTTCAACAAGAGACAGAGCAGGATGCTGTGCTGTCACGCTGTCAACCCACATTGAGGCCACACAGGTGGAGTGTCTGGTAAAAGAATGTCCCAGTATAGAGGGGTTACAGTCCACCCAGACATCCCAGGGAGTGGCCACTGCTGTTCTAAAATGTCCTTCTTAAGACTAACATCTTCCTCAGAAACACTTCAAGTCCATCTCAGCAAAGGTCACATGGAACCAGAACAGGAAATCCGAATGCCGAGGTCACCGTCTGCCACCAGCACTTGGGATAAGTGGCCCTCTAATCACACTCAGGCCACCGTCTGCCATCAGCACTTGGGATGAGTGGCCATCTAATCACACTCAGACCACCGTCTGCCACCAGCACTGGGGATCAGCGGCCCATTTAATCATGCTCAGGCTTAGGATTCTTCTCAGCTCTCATGGGGCCCAAAAAAGTGATGGTCACTGGATAACACAAAGTGAAGAGCAAGCAGCAACCTGGCAGTGAACACCTGCACTCCCTGTTCACCCACAGCCACAGATAGCCCTTTCCCCAGTGCCTTCACTCATGTGCTCCCTGTGGAGACCCATAGGCCAGGGCCGGCTGACCAGGCCCTGCACCTTCCTTAGCAGGACCTCCTCCACTAGCAGCTACCGCTTTTCTTTGCAGCCCAACCCCATGGTGCGTGGAGAGCACAGGCAGCTCCACACCTCAGCACTGAATCCCCACAACCCAGCCTAGGCCTGCCACGACCCCACTCTGAAGGAGGAACACAGCTAAGTCACTCACCTCCTGCAGTCCTCAGACAGCTGCACTCTGCTCAGCCAGGCTGCAGCATGGTTTCTGAGCCTTGGCACTGACACCTGGGGCTGACCATGAGTGTGGGGCTCCCTGTATGTCAGGGTGTTCTGCAGCATCCCTGGCCTCTGTCCATAGATCCTAGCAGCACCCTACACCAGGGTCATGGCAACCAGTATGTCTCCCAAGACTTCCAGGTGTCCTGAGGATCAAGGTCACCCCCAGGTAAGCACTGTGGCCTTGAAGGATTCTCACATACATGAGAAGAATGAGGCCAAGCATCAGAGGAGTGTCATGTGACTAATCAAATGCCACCAAGCAGATCCAAGGTGCTTTCTGTAGCACCAATCCTCGCAGTACCCTTAGGAAAAGCAACAGAGAACCTTCTAGGAGGCCCTAGTCCTCTGGGCCCCTCTGAGCACTCGCACCATCAATGCCAGGCTTCTACCTCAGAGTTTGCCTCACCCCACTTCCAGCATGTCACACTGCTCCTCACACCCCTGTTCCCCAGGGTGATGTCCACACCCTGGGCATTTGAGGAGCCCTCTGGAACAAATCCACGAGCAGTCCTGGGCCTGCGCTCTTCTCCTCTGGTCCTCAGAACCTGTTGTCACGCAGTGGGGTATGACTGTCTCAGCCTGCTCCCCAGCCCCTCCCGAGCCAGCACTCTCCAGACCGTCACTCTGGCAGCATTAGCAACAGGTCAGAGAATCAGGCCTGGAGTGACCACCAGGAGCTGGCAGAAAGCCAGCATGACTGAGCTGGAAGGACGGGTCTTCAGAGACGAGTGCTGGTGCTCTGCGGGCCTGCAGAAGCCGTGCACAATCCCAGAACACATCACCAGCAGCGCCTTTCATTCTGCTATACACTGAATGCAACTGAGTAGCAATGAGATGTTTTGGATTAAAAACAGGAGTATTTTTATGGAAACTCGCTACTTGTTTTCATAAAATAAAGTGCTATGATGTACTATGGCCTTGATTTTACCTTTATCACCCCAGGACATACACAAGGACTCTTCAGCCAGCAGGCCCCTCCTCCACTCCCTCATGGTATTAGCACTGACATTTTAAGACAGGAAAAATCAAATCAAATTTGCAAGTACTGAGTCCCATTTTAAAAGTTGCCTTTTATTAGAACAGTGCCTGCCCACAAAACCTGGTGACAGACCACACCAGGGCATCCTGTGTGGTCTGAATGACTTTTTCATCAGAAGACCTGTGTGAGAATGAAAAACATTGAGAAAGTCCAAGTGAAGCTCCCAAGGCTTGGACAAGGTGCATGTCCCCTGACAGGCCCAGGCCCTGCTCCCCATCCATCCTTCGTCACAGCTGCTCCTCTTTGTCCTCAGATGTGCTGCTCTCAGGCTCCTCTTCCTCTTCCTGCTCCTCCTCCTCCCGAGCCAAGAGCTTTTTAAAAACCTCAAACTCTTCAGCAGAAGAACAGGCTGTTTTGGCCAAAAACTCACTTTCTGACACTCTGAGAATGTCCTTGAGCAAAGGGTTAGTGATTTGCGTCTGCCCCTTCTTGTCAGGGGTTTGGTACCGTCCTAGGCGCTCCAGGTAGCTGTGTCTCTGCTTGATCTTGTTTACTGAGTACTGAAGGAAGTCAGTCCTCACTATGTCCAGGTGCTTGACTCCCATCCTAAAGTATGCATACTGGGAGACACACACAGTGAGGACTCCTCCCCACACACTCTAAAACCACACTCTATAGAGCACTGAGAAAGAAAGGCCTGAGTAATAGCAGCAGAAACTCACTACTATACTGACACTTGTGTGGAAACTGATGGTTTTCAAAATCTAATACTGAGAAAAACGCAGCAGAAAGTAAATTAGTGGGGAAGAAATCAACACTGTTCTTGACAAACCCAGGAGGAGGCTATAGGCGTGGAGGACCATGAGTGTGGAAAGTGCAGGCAAGACTCAGAAAGCACCCAGGAATGCGACCCAAGTTGTCATAACTTACTCAGACATTAGGCCAATTATCACAATTACATTTTCAAAATCATGCGAAAGTATGTTCTAAGGAAAGGAAAGTTTCAGCTGCTTCACAGCTGTTTTGGATACCCACCTAGGACTCAGAGAATGGAACTGTCATTCATTATTATGGAAGAAATAGAGCAGGTCTGATCTGGAAAGGAGGAATAGTAGAACCAGCACCATGTTTCCTAGGACCAAGGATGGCATGGAGAGGCCCTTCCCCTCGTCCACTCAGAGGCTCTCTACGCAAAGGACGGCATGGAGAAGCCCTTCCCTCATCCACTCAGAGGCTCCCTACACACAGAACCAACCTCACTACACCCAAAACCCTTGCCCTTCCTGCTGGCTGCTGCAGCTGTGCTTACCTGGAATTTGTATTCCAATTCACTGGGGTTCTCCTGAAGAACACTGGGGCATCTGTGCAAAATCTCAGTGACCTGCTGAGCTGTGAAAAGGCACTTCTCCTTGAGCAACTTGACAGTGTCATCAATGTCCTGCTGACGCATGGTGAAGACTTCAGGGCAACCGTGGAGCATCCGCCTTAGTTTCCCTGAAGAACATGAAGAAAAGGACAGCACATAATTTCACGGTATGCCGGAACACAAAGACTAGCTCCAACAGCCCTGACCGAAGCCTGCATGAGAAAAAGGAGGAAGGTCCTTTCCCCCAGAGCATGAGTGCTTGTTCCAGCTCACCACAGAAATGACTTCTAGACTCACCAGCCCCCCCCCCACCTCCCCGCCTGTTTCTGGCTTCCCATCTGAAGGTGCTAGCTTCATGTTATAGGTCTCCTCTTGCCCTCCTCACCTAGAAAAGAATTTTACAGGGTTTCACCAAGAAGATCAGACAGCAAGATGGGAAACTGGCTTCCCCAGGGTGGGACTACAGACTGTGGTTTCTCTCTTTAATAAAACCATCACTGAAGCACTGTCCACCAGCACTCTCAAGACCTGGGAGTCGGACCTCCGTGAAAAGGCTTCCATATCAATAATGATGATGTTGAGAACACAAGAAAGATGTTGACAAGAAAGATGTTCCCAATACACAACCACAAACACCAGTGCCCTGACTAACAGGGTGACCATGTGTTCTATCCAAACCAGGTCACCTGTGAGTGAAAGAGGCCTTGAGAGTAATTGCATTAAGATGACTTGTATAGAGGGGCACAGCAGCACCTGTCATCCCAGCAACTCAAGAAGCTGAGGCAGGAAGATGGTAAGTTCCACACTAGCATCAGCAATTTAGAGAGGCCCTATCTCAAAATAAAAAGGGCTGGGGATGTGGCTCAGTGGTAAAGCACCCCTGGGTTCAGTCCCCAGGACCACACACAAAGGTAGATGGTCTAAATTGGGACTATCCCAGGCAAACTAGGGTATATGGTCTTCACAGGAAACACTCAGAAAAATTTAATAACTAGTAACTGAAAGTCACTTTCTTTAAACATTTCAGTTTCCCAAACACTGTCTTACTAAAAAGTGAGAAATGGATTTGGGAGTTTAGGTGTTATCTTCATCTCTTATAGCTATGCTGAGTTGCTAATTAATAACCATAACACATACCATATTAAATCTAGTATCTCGTATTACCCTTTAAGAGAATTATACAAGACTACCTTCTTGTTTATTTTCTGGACAAAGAATTCCATATAGACCCTAACAAATAATGGGCCCAAAAATATTCCTTTTCAATTAAAAAAAAATTTCTAGGAAGTGAAAAAAAATAATAATGGAACATCTGTGGTCAAAGTGGTTGGGGTCCTTGAAGCAGACAACATCCTCCTTCTCCAGAAGGTTCTTAAAGTGACCCAAAAAAACTTCAAGGATCTCTGAGGTGTGAACACCACTGGAGGAGGGGGACAGCTATAGAAGCCATTCTACCAGCTTCCCAGGAACCTGAAGGATCTCTCAGGTTCCACTGGATTCTCGGTCTTTATAAGCGATGGTGTCCTCAGGCCTACAATGCACAAAGCATAAAGAACACATCACGTGGGCTTGCACGTCAGAGCCTCCACATATGCACACACACAGAGAGACCAGCACCACACAGCAAGAGTAACCTACTGAACACAGACCATGTGCCAACACTGTCCTGGAAGCAAGAGATCCTAGGTGAACACACTACACAAGGACTGCCCTGGCCCCGGTTCCCTCCTAATCTCCCCACATTCTTTCTGCAATGGTTTCTGCAAAGGCTGCAAACAGTCTCCCCCAGGACACTGAACTCTCCTCAGAAACCTTTCCTAAGCCATCACACCTTCAGCTCCTCCTTCCCAACTCTGACTCTTCTCACACCACATAAAATCTGCACCCTGTACCTTCCCCAAGGCCCAGCTTTCGCAGGTAATTGGAGCGCTTCTTCATTTGTACAACTGGCAGTTTCTGTAACTGGGGACTCTTCTTCAAGACCACACACACAGGCTCAGGATTCAGACCCAGGAGTATCAATTCTGAAATGATGTCCAGCAACTGCTGAAGATTGACACCTGGCAATGTGCTGAGCAAATCCTTGACATGGGCATCGCTGAAACCCATGTCCAGGAGGGAACTGATGACTTTTTCTGGCTCTAACGACCCACTATCCACAGGTGTGCTCTGCTTCTCAGGGAGGCCCTGAACAGGATTTGTCCTGCACACTGGTTGCTGCACAGAGTTCCTGGGTCCAACACGGAATGCCTCCTCCAGGCTCCCTCCATGGGAAGCAGTCGTCTGTTTAGTCCTTCCCCGTTCGGGGGGATGAGAAGTCCGCCTGGCCACACAGGCCCAGGAGAGTGGGACTAGGCGTTGCCCCCCGAGGACCTGGAAGACAGAAGCAACCTGCAAGGCCGGACCCGACTTCAGAGCCCCAGTCCCACCGAGGGTCGAGGACTCCCAGTGCCGACGGCGGACGCCGGCGCCCGCCAGGCTGGGGGACTGCGCTGTAACCGCGGGAGCCGTTTCAAAGCCACCGGGCACCACCTGCCGGAAAACCCTGGGCGGCAGACGAGTTCCCAACTCGTCCCCCAAATCCCTCCCACCAGAGGAGGACTCCAGGCCACGAGCCGGCCAGCGAGCCGACGCACCCGCCACCTCCACGGCCAGGGGAGGCCCCGCGCCCGGCACCCGCTCCCCAGGCCTGCCCGGCGCGGCCCCGCGACCCCTGTGCCCGGTCCCCGGGGCGCCCTCACCTGCCGGCCAAGCGCAGCCATAGCGCCGAGGCGGCGCCGCAGCACAGGAAGCGAGGCCCTGCCCGGTCCGCCACTTCCGGTCCGCGGTCCGTCCGCCCCTCCCACCCCCCCGCGCCAGCGCGGGTGCTCGGGGCGTCGGTTCCGGCCCGGAGCGGAGGGCCCGGGCTCCGAAAGCCGGGGAGGTGGGCCGGGCAGGAACGCACGGCCCAGAGCGGAACGGCAGCACCCGGGGCCCTAGCCTCCGAGGACACCGCAGCCCCCGGCGGGCCCGCGCAGGCCGAAGCGTCTTCCTGAGGGGCCCTCGCCGCTCTAGAAGTGTTCGGAGCAAGCCGTGGGAAGGAGGGCGCCTTCCCCGCCACCTTGGAGGAAGACGCAGTTTACTGCTCGGAAGCGCCATCTTCGAAACCCCTGAGATGAGCAGGACCTTTAAAGGACCAGCAGGGGAGTGAGACCCAGGCGGGAAGCGCACCGGGTGGCCTGAGCAGCGGCGGTTTCCATCGGCAGCCTCCGTGGTGCTGGTCAGGTTGAATGGCGGCAGCCCTCAGTCTCCGATCTCAGCAGGAGGAAGCTGTCCCCATGCAGCCTACTTTATAGGCATTTTTCTGTTTCCTCGACTGACAAAAGGACTTAATTCTTGCAGGGATACCTGTTTGTGCCAGACACTGAGCTGGTGCTATTTATTTAAATGTGTCTTTTGACAGAAGAGGAAGATTGTGTAAAACTAAAGAATTGGTTGCTTTAAAAAAAAAAAAAATCTAGTTTTCTTTAAATGCTCAACTGTTAACACCACAAAATAAATGGTTAGTGCTTTTACATCCAAAGCCAAAGGAAATCCTATGAGTGTCCCCCAACCCCCAGGGAGGAATCAAGGAACCTGAGCACATCAGCACTCTAGATAGAGTGATGTCTGGCTGCAGGGGTTACCATGAAAAATGGGCAGCATCTTCAGCGTTTTGTGAAACTTTGCTTTCTTGAACCATACTTGAAACATGCAGAGGAACAACTGTCATCTGCAGCTTCAGAACTTCTCTCTCCAGATTCTTTCTGCAGAGAACATCTGCAAAGCCTCAGACCACCTACTGCCAGCCAGCCAGATGTTTTCATTGCTTTTTCTTATTAAAACAATGCATTCTGTGATATCTTGTGCTTTATAACCATCATGAACACAAGGGAAGACGTTTAATTCATGAAAACAGTATTTAGATCATCAGAAATCTCATTTTAATTCTGAAGCAAAAAAGATCACTAACTTCTGGTAGCTGGGCCTGGAGACCCTCACGCAAACACAGAGATGGGGCTGGGTCTGCTGTAGGGCATCTGCAGAGTGTTAGCAGGCCACCCTGGGTCCTCAGCAGTCTCCTTGAGAGCTCAGACACCTGGCAGACCTGGCCCTGCTGAGCTGTGCTTAGAGAAGGGAAGTGTCTGAGGATGTGGCAACTCCCCAGGCATCTGAGGGGGAAAACCTTCAGAGCCCAGGGCAGTGTCCAGCACCCTGTGAGACTGTCTCCCAGACTGACAGAGACTAGACTTCTCTCCAGCTGCAGCAAGCTGTGCATAAACAGAAAAACAAGGCAAGTCCTTCTCACACCAGGCCTGGTGGACAGTTCATAGAGTTCCCATTAGGGGGATCATTTATTAACAAAATGGCTTTAATTTGAAAGTATTCAAGGAAATAAATTAATGAACTAGTCTGGTTATTTGCTAACCGGTTGTATAGATTGCACACATCAATTCTCGGCTGAGCACATACCAAGTCACAGGGAACAAAGTTTGTATATATATACACACATAAAAAAAATAGATAATTAAAACACTCTTCCCTCTATAAGCTCACAAATAAAAGAACTTTAATAAAGTAATTGTGCATTACAATGCTTTCTCAGGGTCACAAAAAAACACGGACTCCAAGTTTACTTTATAAACCTAAGAAAACGGTCACACCTGCTCCCATTGTGGCACTTGCCCAGTTGTATGTGGGCTTTTAGAAGGTAAATTGGGCTCCATTCTTGAGAATTTACTTTCTTTTAAGTAGACAGGACCTGAAATCTATGATTCTCCAACCTGAGTGAAGAAGAGCAGCAGGAAGTGTGTGTGTTCAGCCCACTGGTGGGGAGGGGTCCTCAGGACACAAGCAGCACTGGCCACTGGGGGACTCGCTAGAGGCAGGAAGCCTGCAGAGCCCCCGAGCCCGAGGCACGTCGCTCAGGCTCCTGTTGCCCAGCTCCAAACTTGCAGTGGACAGGAGGCTGCTCTCTGATGGGAGGAAAAAGACTTTGTGTCCCATGCTAACAATTGGAGATTTTATTTTGGGGGCGTGGGGGAAGTGGGGGTACTAGGGATCGAACCCAGGGGAACTTAAACACAGAGCCAAATCCCCAGCTCTTTTTTTGAATATTTTATGTGAAGACAGAGTCCTGCTAAGTTGCTGAGGCTGGCTTTGAACTTACGCTCCTTGTGCCTCAGCCTCCCAAGTCACTGGTGTGCGTCACCATGCCTGACAACAGAAGATTCTAAAACGCTTTCTCACTACAAGTCCGAGGAACAAGGAGTGGGAGGGAGACTTTGGAAAAACCACAGTCAGTGTTCTGGACATGACAAGGTGCTGGGGGATTCTAAGCCCAGGGCCACTGGTGCCAACTTGGTCCACCTGCTCTGAGCCGTGGTTCTGGCTTGTACCAGCGCCTTGTCCCCATGATCCCCAGGGTGTCACACATCTGTAGCCAACACCAGCTGCACTCCTCAGGCCCTGGCCCCCACTGCTCCTGCCAAGGGCTCTCCTGGGCACTTGCCCTCCCTCAAGGCCACAGCCATTCCCTGAACCCTGGTGACATCCAGTGGCCTCTGGCACAGAATCCATCCCTCTCTGACAGGCAGCTGCGAGGCCTGACATGTATCCAGGACAGCAAGGAGGAGGGGGCCTCCCCTGGCCAGATAGCCTGGGCACCTCCCCACACCACTCAAGCTCTCACCTGGCTGGCTTATTCGACACACCTCTTCCCAGGTGTAAGCAGCCAGATTCACAGGCTGTGTTACCCACGGATCCATCACCAGCTTCTCCAGAGTGGTGCGCTGCTCGGGGGCAGGCTGCAACAGCCCAGACACAAGGCTCATGAGTGCTGGAGATGAAGAAACACAGGTGGATCCAGGCTGGGGCTAGCAGAGCACATCTCAGACCCCCACAGAGTCTCTTCGAGGCAGGAGGAAGAGGAGGCTGGGGCTCAGGCTGGGCCTGGAATGCCCAGGGAAGGCCTCCTGGGGAGATAGACACCCCTAAAATGGAAGCCTGGAGCTTGAGACCCAACTCAGACTCAGAGGCCTGGCGCCCCAGATGGCCTGCTGTCAGGAGCGCAGCTCTGCAGAGCTGTGAGTACTCGGGGGGGACACAGAGGCTGGAGAGAGGCAGCTGGCAGGGTGCCCCCGACTGGCCCCATGGGAAGAGCATGGACTCTGAGAGAAGCTGAAGCTTTGGCTCTAGATTTGGGTTCCATTTCCTCCAACAATGTGGGTGTCAGGGACACCCTGTGAACCTGTGAGAACCCCTGGGACAACCTCTGTGAATGGAGCAGCATGCTACAGAGCTGTGACCTTAGCACAGCTCTAAAAATGCTCTGCTAGGGTGCCCTAGCTGGGTTGTGTCCCCAAAACTGTGCATGTTGAAGTGGTAACCCCGTTGTGACATCAGGGAGGTGCGACCACCAGAGGCCATCAGGGTTAGTTGAGGCCCTGAGGTACAGGGTGAGCATCCCTATGAGAGAGGGAAAGGACTAGGCTTCCAATCCACAGAGGACACCTACAAGCCAGAAAAAGAGCCCTGACCAAGAACAGAACCCAGGGCACCTCGTCCTCAGATTTCCAGCTCCCAGACTGTGAGGAATCAATGTCTGCTGTTTGAGGGCCCATCTGCGGTGCAGTCACCCAGCCTGAGCTGACCCAGACAACAGTTTCTAACAAGAAAAGAATCCAGGCACAGATGTTGAGCACGAGGATGCTGCTGTCTTATAGATTTTAACGTGGGAATTGGGAACCCTGGTGTCCAGTCACCTGGCTAACACCTGACTGTTCCTGCCAGTCCCTGGGGCCCCTCCTGGTGTGGAAGCACTGAGCAGCCCACTCCAGGCTGGGAAGCCTTTCTGGCCACTGATCCCACATCTGCCTCACCACCTGGTCCTCACTCCAGAGGCAAACAGCATGCAGCCTGAGGGGAGCTGAGCCCTCAACCATCACCCTGCTCTGGAAGGGGAGGCTCCAAGGTGAGTGGTCGGGGTCTAGTCCTTCCTCTGACCTACATGCCTGATCTTCCCGGTGCTGCTCAGAAAGGGTACAACTGTGAAGTCTATCACTGACAAAGGGCCTCTAACACCCAAGAGACACTAATAAGAACTAAATCATCCAGAGTTTTTTAAGTCTTCTTGAAATCACTCATCTGCCTGTGTGTGCACACGCACGCATTACTAGGGGTTGAACCTAGGGTCTGTGCATGCTAGGCAAGTGCTCTGTTTTACGGGGTCTCACTAAGTTGCCCAGTCTGGGGCAACTTGGGCTCTCCTCCTGCCTCAGCCCTGGTGTGCCACCATGCCCGACTCAAATCATTCTTATGTTCAGATCAAAGCACAGGAAATAGAAAAGGAAGGTAAATAAGATCACTGGTATGCGAGGAAACAGAAACAGGAGCTGACAGCAGCCCAGGACACGACATCTCCCCACCATCTGGGAATCCTGCTCACCCTGGGAAACAGGGCGTGGGGGGTGTATAGCTGCCTCCACGGTCTCCTCCACTTCACAGAAGGGGTTCTCCTCGAAGACCAGTGTGTACAGTGTGACCCCCAGAGACCACATCTCCAGCTCTGGACCTGTGTAGCTGTGAGGAGGAGAGAGCATCTCAGGGCTTCATGGAATAGCACAGGCTTGCCCAGCCCACCCACAGTGCCACCAGCTAGGTTTCCCTGCGTGGGAAGGCCTTCAGGGGACCGCAGGCCGGGGGGAGGGCTTCCTGGAGAAGGCAGGGAGGTCAGGAGCGGCCTCATGAGGGGTCATCAGCACAGAGTGGTGTGCTTTGTAGAAAGACCACATGACAACGAGGTCAGGCTCAGAGCAGTGAGAACACAGGACAAGTGGACAGAGCAGGCAGAGGACAGTAGGACAGGGTGGGGCCAGGAACTGGTCCAGATGGAAGAAGAAGACTGGGGAGGGGCGGGGCACTGTTATTTCCTGTTATCACACAACCTCACGCATGCTGCCAGCTGCACCAGGCCGTCAGGTGGTTGAACCCTAACCCTCCCAGCAGCCTAGCAAGAGGAATGTCGTCCTCATTCTACCAGAGCACACGGGGCTCGGCAAGGTGGAGCAGCTGCCAAGCAGGCCCATGGCCCTGCACTGCCCTGTGCTGTCCCACGCTGCCCAAGGCCCTGAGTGTCAGTCTGTGGAGCTCAGAGCAGTCTGAAGCAGGCACCAGCTGGGAAGCAATGGTGCCCACGAGAGCCACCATCAGACACGGAGCCCTGAGCAGCCACAGCACGAGAGGGGCCCAGGACAGGGCCTCTGCTGTCCAGGGACCACAGGAGCCTGGGCCATCAGAGGCAGAAACCCAGGCAAGGGCAGCAGAGGCCACCACGGAGCGAGTGAAGGGGCGGCTGCAGGAAGCTAGAGCAGGTAGTCAAGTAAACGGCTTTGCCTTTATGTCATCTCATGGCAGAGATTTCAAGAATGTTGGAAAGAGTGGGGCTGGGACTGGCCAAATGATACATGTTCTAGGCTCGCAGGCGTGTGGCCTTGTGCCAGCGACTCAGCTCTGCTGTGATGGCACAGAGCAGCCACAGAGGATGAGAAGGCGCATGTGCACATGGCCATGTTCTAATAAGACTTTTATTTGCAAAGCCAAGGGTAGGAGCTACTCGCACACAACCACAGGTTCACAGTAGCCAGGTGGCGGCAGCAGCAAGCACCCACCAGCAGCTGGTACCAGCCCACAAAAGGGAGACCGTGCCCCAGCGGCCACGTGAGGAACCTTGAGGACCTGATTCTGAGCCAGACAAGCCAGCAGTAGGAAGGCAAGCACCGCAGAATCCCACTCCTGGGAGGTCCAGTCCCTAAAGGAAGCAGGTCTGTAGAGACAGAGGTAGGACACCAGAGGCAGAGGCTGCAGAGGGTCGTGGGTGTCAGTGTTCAGGAAGATAAAGAGTTCTTTGGGGGACTGGGATTGTGGCTCAGAGGTGGAGCACTCGTCTAGCACGTGCAAGACCCTGGGTTCGATCCTCAGCGCCATATAAAAAAATAAAATAAAGATATGTGTCCACCTATAAGTAAAAAATAAATATTAAAAAAAAAAAAAGTGCTTTGGGTAGGTGGTGGCTGTGGTTGCAAGACAGCATGAATGTGCTAACTGCCCCAAGCTCAGGCTTAAGATGGCAAATGTTATGTTATGTGTGTTACCATAATAAAAAATATATATAAAAATCAGACTGGGGGCTGGGACATAGCTCAGTTGGTAGAGTGCTTGCCTCACATGCGCAAGACCCTGGGTTCAATCCCCAACACCACAAAAAAAAAAAAAAAAAAAAAAAACAAGAATCAGATGGATACGGCCCAGGAAGGAAGAGCACTGCTAGTGAAGGTGGAAATCGCAGCTCAGACAGCCTTTTCAGGACAGTGGAGAGGACGGGCAACAGGACACAGCCAGGGCTGACCCAGAGGCCAGGAGCAGGACTGTCCCCCTGCATAGCTAATAGGAGGCACGGCATGAGAAGAAAAGGCCAGACAAGGGCTCTGGGAGAGGTGAGAGCAGGATTGGGGCTCCTCTAGGTTGTGGCTGGTCAGTCTGAGAGGAGGTCACTGAGCAGCTCAGAGCCACAGCCCAGGTTGGAACCCACACCCCTCATGGAAGCTGCCCAGCTGGGCATAGGGGCAGGACCTCCTAGGCAGCCCTGTCCTGGGCCACAGTAGACATTTAGTTTCCCTCCCACACTGGAGTAGGGTAACCACCCCAGCATTCACGGATGCCAGGGTGACCAAATCAATCCGAAACGTCACTTATGGAGGTTCCAACAGAACCCCACACTCCACGCAGGCAAAAAGTCCAGTCACTGCACACAGGGGCCAGACAGGCCCAGGAAAAGGCTGGAGCAGGCTGAGGGCTGCCATGCTCTGGGACTGCCATGAGCAGCCTGGAACCTGCACTTCCCAGCTCAGGGTGAAGGACCTGGGAGACTGTGCTCTGGGCCCTCACTTCCCAGCTCAGGGTGAGGGACCTGGGAGACTGTGCTCTGGGCCCTCACTTCCCAGCTCAGGGTGAAGGACCTGGGAGACTGTGCTCTGGGCCCTCACCTCCCAGCTCAGGGTGAAGGACCTGGGAGACTGTGCTCTGGGCCCTCACCTCCCATGTGAGCCTTCGGAGTGTGTGGCACAGTGGTGACCACAACCAGACACTCTGGATCCAGGCCAAGGGCCAAGTCCAGCTCCAGCCAGCCCAGCAGGGTAACCCTGCACACTGCTGACAGGACCATACAGGCGGGTCATGCCCAATCACCCACTCCCCTCCAGAGGTGCATGTTAGCTGCATTTCTCTTAATACCAACGTGTCTGAACCTGACTTAATAAAATACTTCGTATGTGGAGACACCCAATTTGAGCATGCAAGAGACGGTGAGGATGTGTACATAGCAGAAACCACTGTCAGCCGACTCCTCTGGGGACTCCTAGCACTAGGAGGAGACGCTGCGAGGGCCATCCCCTGCCGTCCACAGGCTCCCCCACCTGAGGAGAAGCAAACTCATCTTCCCCCAGGGTCCACTTCCTCCCCAGCAGGGGCAGTACCCTGGGACTGACTGTGGCCAAGCAGTACCAATGAAGGGCCTCTCAGGGACTAAGCCCCCACCGTCCATCCTCCCCACAACTCCTAGAGCTTCTACTCTGGCTATTGCTTGATTTCTAATATGGCCAGCCTGACAAGACTTTATTGAAGTAGGTTATTATTCCTGTCACCAAATAAACCTAGCTAAAGAAGAGTTTTTCGGGCTAGGGTTGTAGCTCGGTGGTAGAGCTCTTGCCTCGCCTGAATGAGGCACTGGGTTCGATCCTCAGCACCACATAAAAATAAATAAATAAAATATAGACATTGGTCCATCTGCAAATAAAAATTAAAAAAAAAAAAGAAGTGTCTTCACTTTACGTAGTAAAGTCCCATCTTTTATTTTTGCAGGGTTTTGTGTATTTTTTTGTTGTTTTTGGTACTGGGGATTGAACCCAGGGTGCTCTACTACTGAGTCATACCCCCAGCCCTTTATTAAATTTTATTCTGAGATAGGGTCTCATTACGTTGCTGAGGCTGGCCTCAAACTTGTGATTCCCCTGCCTCAGCCTCCCAAGTTGCTGGGGATACAGGTGTGTGCCACTGCTCCCAGCAAGTCCCATTTTGGGGGACCCTCATCTTTACTTTCTATATTTTCCTAATTTATATCAAACTCAAGAAAAACAAAAATTGAGAAACAAAACATAGTAGAATGAACCCATGTCCACTGCCCAGCACCCTCTGACCACTTTGCATGTTTGCCCACTTATTCTCTGAAACATAACCCTTTATCACTCAGCACCCTTGTCACAAAGAGGCACTGACCAAAGCCATTTCCCCTAAAATCAAACTAATCCTGAGGCCCAGTGGAAAGGGCAGGCACAGTGACAGGGCACACACGAGCTACGTACGGATTCCCCATGAGAACCTCAGGAGCACAGTACTCGATCGTTCCACAGAAGGTGTAAAACAATTTGCCCCTTTCCAAGTAGGCAGCCGATCCAAAGTCGATCAACTTGATAGTGAAGTCCTCCGCGATCACAATGTTCTCATCCTTGATATCCCGATGCACGATGCCCTTTGAGCGCAGGTAACTCACTGCTGACACCAGCTGGAATTAGGCAGAGGCATTTATTGTCAAAATAAATGCTTACAAGAGGGGCTGGAGTTGTGGCTCAGTGGTAGCACGCTTGCCTAGCACATGTGAGGCACTGGGTTCGATTCTCAGCACCACATACAAATAAAATAAAGGTCCATCAACAACTAAAAAAAAAAATAGTTTATATATATAAAAACAAGAAAAATACCACCAACAAAACTCGTTTGCCAGTGCATCATGCTGGGGGCTGGAGACCCGATCTGGTCCCCGTGGGAGGCACAGAAACCAGCTTGGCAGGAACAGACCTCAAGAACACACGGAGAGCAAACAACCGTATAGACTGGTGTCCAACAGGAAGTGCCCACGAGCAGCTCATGGGGCAGGAGAGCCACTTGCCCAGGGTCCAGTCGGCAAGGGGTGATTGAGAAGGTACAGATGCTCCTGCCCAGGGCTCTGGGAGATCTTCAAAGAGCAGCAAGGCACACCCACAAGGATTCCCCACGGAGCAGGACTCTGACCATCTGGAACGAGGGGCTCCACTGGAAACAAGCTCCTCTCCAAAAGTCATGGACCCACCTGCCTGGCCCCCTCTGCATCTCCGATGGCAGAGGCCCCACCTCTCCTGCCTCTCCATGGATTCCAGAAAGACACACAGCGGGTCTGACTGCATCACGGTGTGGGTAGCTGGACCCATCAACTCAACAATCCCAGAGTGCAGTCAATCATTTCAAAATCAATCAGAAGCAAACTAATGGCAGGACCACTAAGCCCACTAAGTAACTTACACTTAATAAACAAATATATGTAAATAAACACATAAATAGTACATACCTACACACCTACACACACACACATTCACATGCACATACATGCACACGTGTTCACACTTGCACATAAACAAGTGCATGCGCATTCATATGTAGACATAAACCAAACAGACATGCATACATGCACACACAGCATATTCCCGTCAGGCCCAGTCAATGACAGAAGCCACGTTTTCATTACAACATGGAAAGTCTCACTAAGACTTATTAACTAGTGCTGAGCGGGGAGGAGAAGCCAACCTCCTGCCGCTCTCCCATGCCTTGCACATAAGGGCTGCTCGCAGGACTCCACAACAGTTCACAGGCTTCGGCTCCCATTGCACCCCAGGCCTGGCAGACGGGGAGCTGCGGCAAGGTGCTGATAACTGGCAGTATTGTATATGACAATGTGTTTACTCCAAACTAAGGATCTATATTCAACTATGTTAACACATGTAAGTTTATACCCAGAAACTTTTACAAAAATGTTAAAATATGAACTGCTATAGTTACTTGTGTCATCAGCCACAAAATCAACTACAAGGCAACACTGTTAAGAGCTCACTACAAGGAAACCTCACATAGGGGCTCTAGGGACCACAAAGTCCTAGGACACATTCGTGGCACTAGCTGAGGGGAGCAAGAGGGTCCAGCATGGGAAGGGAAAGCCAGGCAGCCGAAGCCCTCAGGCAGGTGTCCAGGAGAGTCCCACAGACACCATGGAACTTCCAGGCCCTCCCAGGAAACAGATCAACACAGGCCTGGTGGCCACCCTCCCAGGAGCTGGGGGCAGCCAGGGAACAACACCTTCTACCTCCCAAGGCAGAGTCCTGCCCCTCCCACCCCTCTGCTGATCACTCCCTAGCCACTAAAATGACAAATGCACAGGGACAAATGCACACTTCAGTACAAAACAGAGGAAGGCACTGAGTGAAAGTAACACACCAGGATCTCACCTGTACTCACCAGGGAACCAGGAACTAACGCCATGGGCGTACGCCCCCAGGACACGCTAGGACTCACAGCCTGTCCTGTAGGTGACACAGTGACTCCACCTGTGCTCCTGGGACATCTAGGACTCACAGCCTGTCCTGTAGGTGACACGGTGACTCCACCTGTGCTCCTAGGACATCTAGGACTAACAGCCCTGTCCTGTAGGTGACACGGTGACTCCACCTGTGCTCCTAGGACATCTAGGACTAACAGCCCTGTCCTGTAGGTGACACGGTGACTCCACCTGTGCTCCTGGGACATCTAGGACTAACAGCCCTGTCCTGTACGTGACACGGTGACTCCACCTGTGCTCCAGGGACATCTATGACTCACAGTCTGTCCTGTAGGTGACATGGTGACTCCACCTGTGCTCCTGGGACATCTAGGACTCACAGCCCTGTCCCGTAGGTGACACGGTGACTCCACCAGTGCTCCTGGGACATCTAGGACTCACAGTCCTGTCCTGTAGGTGACACGGTGACTCCACCTGTGCCCCAGGGACATGCTAGGACTAACAGGCCTGTCCTGTAGGTGACACGGTGACTCCACCTGTGCTCCTGGGACATCTAGGACTCACAGTCCTGTCCTGTAGGTGACACGGTGACTCCACCAGTGCTCCTGGGACATCTATGGCTCACAGCCATGTCCTGTAGGTGACACGGTGACTCCACCTGTGCTCCTGGGACATCTAGCACTAACAGCCCTGTCCTGTAGGTGACACGGTGACTCCACCTGTGCCCCAGGGACATGCTAGGACTAACAGCCCTGTCCTGTAGGTGACATGGTGACTCCACCTGTGCTCCTGGGACATCTAGGACTCACAGCCCTGTCCTGTAGGTGACACGGTGGCTCTACCTGTGCTCCTGGGACATCTAGGACTCACAGCCGTGACCTGCAGGTCCACAGTCACTCCCAGAATGTCTACCAGAAGACTGCAGTACTGATTTTCCTGTGGTCTCCTGGTCTGCAGAGACAGGACTTGAGAGCTAACTCACAGGCTCAGCCTCCGTGACGGTCTGAGTGGTTCACGTCTGTGACCTCTGAGGACACTCTACACATACAAAGGAAGCTCAGTCACTTAGCACCTCTCTGTGCTCACGCCACGTCACTCTCTGGCCTCTTCTCTTAGCTTCTCTGTCTCAACCACAGGATTCTCTTCTCAAAGTAGGTATCTTACTCCACAAAATCCCAAGGCCGAAGACCAGGTCCAGCTCAGAAAGAAGTGAGTCCAGTCAGAGTCCCTGGCCACCCATGTCCATCAATGGTGCCCATCCAACCCACACAGCCCTGGACCCTCTCACCTGCCGGAAGATGTAGCTTGCCAGGGGCTCATCCAGGCTAGGGTGATGGTCAATGAAAGCAAAGAGGTCCAGGCCAGAGCCATGCTTCTCCATTACCAGCTGGAAGAAGCCCTGGTTTTCAAACACGTCCAGCACCTGGGAAAGGCAAGGCCAAGGGAAGCTCTGCTGACGTCAACCACCAGATGAAGGATGTTCTACAGGAGCAACGTCAGGGCTCCCTCCTTCACCTTGATGATGTTGGCATGCTCCACTCTGGAGAGAATCGCGATCTCCAGAGTGACTTTTCCAAGTTTGGGGTCCTCCACCCAACAGTCTTCCAAAATCTTCTCCTTCTTAATGAACTTCACCACCACCTGTGGAAACAGTGAGGACATAATGGACAGTCCTCTGTGTCCCATTCCACATGATGTCCACTACCTGCCCCTGGCAACAGCAGAGCGGCAGTGTTCTCCTCCCCCAAGCAAACACAAGCCCCGCAGCGGGAAGAAGCAGGCAGTCAGCAGCTGAGCAGATGCGGGGGAATCCCTGCCTGTCCTGTCTCATGCATGGACTGCAGTGAAGGGGGCCCAGAAAGCAGTGCCTGAGAAAAGAAGCCGTGGAGACCTTGGGGGGGTGCTGCCCAGACCACCCATGCAGCCTCATCCTCCTTGAAGTTCTGTGTCCTAACCAGGAGAACAAAATAACAGGCCCAGGGAGAAGAGAAAATAAAGGACAATCCATCCTTAGACACATTTCAACACTGACTCTGAGGCCAGCCAGCAAGTCCACAAACTGGACGGACAGAGCAGAGCACACAGGGCCTTCACAAAGTCAGGCCACGTGCCGGAACATAACACAAAGCGTGTTCTCAGACTGTGGGTACACTAAGCTAGAAGTTGAAAACTGAAAGAGACCTGAACAGCTCCAACTACCTGGAAATTAAACAACACGTTTCCACATAGCCAAAACATTTATAAGTGAATAAAAACAAAACACAGAATATGGCAACGTGGGCCACAGATGAAGCCAAGCTGCAGAGGAATTCCGAGCACTGATATTTACACTAGAGAAGAGAAAAGCTCAACTAAGCCATGTAAGAAGGCACCTCAGAAAAGTAGGAGCCAGGCGTGGTGGGCACATCTGTGATCCCTGCCACCAGTGAGGCCGCGCTGGAGGGCCACAGCTATCGACCAGCATGGGTACCTCAGTGAGACCCTATCTCAACACAAAAAATAAAAAGGGGTATGCACATGGATCAGTGGTAAAGTGCCCCTGGGCTCCATCCCTGGTAACAAGAAAAAGAAAAAGAAAAAAGAAGCAAAGCAAAGCAAATTAAATCCAAAATAAAATAATAATAATAATAATAAAGAATTGAAACCACAAAACTAAAAACAGATCAATAAGGACAATTAATGAAGCCATAACATTAAGCCTCTAACCAGACAGATCAAAAAACAATAAGACACAATATCAAGTATGAGAGAGATGATAAAATCACAGACGCCAAAGACACTGAAAGATTCTGAAGTATCACAGACAACTTTATGCTGATACATTTGATAATCTGGATGAAACAAAGCTCCTGAAAGACCCAAACCATCAAAGCTCACTCAAGAAGCCAGAAACAGAAGTCACCTTCTATTTCAGAATCTTGATTTGTAGTTTAAAACTTGCATTTAAAGAGCAACCCACTCCCAGACCATTCTACTGTTCAATCCTACAAAATGTTTAAGGAGGAAATCACATTGTACACAATTGTGCACAGACTCCTGCAGGGGACAGAGGAAGGGGCTACTTCCAGGTCTGCCTTTACAAGGCCACTTCACTGACCCCAGAGGCAGAAGAAGCGTTTCCGCCACACTCAGGCCACACGCCTCACCACCACAGAGCACTGACAGAGGGAATACGGCAGTGTTTCAGGACAGCAGTGACACGGCAGACCAGGGACACTTAATTCAGGACACAAAGTTGACGGAATTCGCAGTCCACACCCAAGGTTGGTGGAGTGGTCCAGTGATGTCTGACAATGCTCCCAGACAAAGAAAGGACACCTTTTAACAACTGTGCCAACTGGTGCACATGCCCATGCGAAGATGACCCTCAAGTGTGTTTTGTGCCACGTGCAAAATCACTCCAACTACACCACAGGCCTCAAGCAAAGCTTCAAACCCAGAACCTGAAGAGAGAAACATGAAATCTTTGTGACCTTGGATCACACAGGACAGGGAGCACATGATCCATGGGAAGAAACTGATAAAATTGGACTTCACCAAAATCCAAACCTCTGTCCCTGAAAGGCACTGTCGCGGACGAGAAGACGGGCCTCTGACTGGAGAACACATCTGCACAGCAGGCCTCTGATGAAGGAATGCAACCAGCTCACCCGGAGCCGGCATGGGGCCAGGGGTCCCAGAGCTCAGGAGGCTGAGACAGGAGGACTGCAAGTGTGTGGCCAGCCTGGGCAACTGAAGAAGGCCTGGTCTCAAATAAAAAATAAAAAGTGCTGGGGAAGTAGCTCCAAGATTAAGCAATTTTTTAAAAGTTCACAGGAGACAAAGACACTTCAGCAAAGAAAATAAGCAGATGGCAAATAAGCACATGAAAAAGCGCTCAGCACCCCAAGAGCCCAGGTGCTGCGCTCAGTCCCTCACAGCTCAGCACCCCAAGAGCACAGGTGCTGCACTCAGTCCACACAGCTCAGCACCCCAAGAGCACAGGTGCTGCGCTCAGTCCACACAGCATCCAGGCAGGCAGGGCTAAGCCCCAGGGTCTGTGGCCAGGACACAGGCTTGTGTGTTGCGGACAAGTCGTGCCCCTTGATTAGGATGGCTGTGCCAGGGACTGTGCTCTGTACTTAGTTTCAAGTATACCTTCTGGCCTGCTCAATAATGTTGGGAGGATTTCTTTCCAGGTGAGAGGAGGAGGTACAAGTTTGGTTTAAAAGTAGGCATGTGGGCGGGAGAGTAACCCCCATGCCAAGAGAGCTGGGGGCCTTAGCATGCCAACCCCAGGAGTGGCTGCAGCCTTCTGGACCACGTGCAGCAGGACTGCCACCCCAGCAGCAATGTGAGCCCTGCAGGGCGTGCTCTCCTTAAGACCCCTCTCTCCCACTGAACCCACAGAGGGAGAGCAAGAGCAGAGCCAGGCCCCCCCTGAGAGCCAGAGCACCTCCTTGTTTTGCGCCTTATCCACTGCGGTCCAGACAAACCCAAAGGCCCCACTTCCAATCGGGCTGAGGGTGCTGTACTTGTGGGAGTACTCCCCCTCACAGGCGGCCAGCTCTGCCAGCTCCACGGGTGTGGGGCTCTCCTCAAACCAGGGCTTGGCTCTGAGCATCTGCAAAGGCAAAGGAAGGTCTGAGGAAGACCTGCCACCACAAAGCCAGGTGGCCCCCCCCTCTAGGCCCACCATCCCCAGCAGCACAGCCCCTCCTCCCGTGCCCACAGGGAGCCTTTCTAGGCAGCCTGGACACCCTGATCCAAACTGGCACCCCCAACCCTGGACACAAAGCATGTGCAGACTCAAAGGCCTGCATCTGCTTTGCACACAGGGTATGAGAAGACAGAAGACCACGAGACCCCACTCCCACCCCCGGGAAACAAAGCCAAACAGCCAGGCCAACTGGAAGGCCAGCCAGTCCAGGCCAACAGGAGGCCCACGCCAGCTGCAGACACCAACCTCCCCGAGGCTGGGTCCAGGGAGCTCGCTCATGGAGTGGGTGGAGCTGGGCAGGCTGGCGATGAGCAGGCGGGTCCTGGTGGCTGAGTTGCGGTGGCTCTGCAAGAGGTTCTTCACCAGCCAGCAGCAGAACAGGGTTGCAGAGCCCTGGAGCTCCACGCGTTTCACTTCAAACTGGATACCTGAAGCACAGAGGTGAGGAGGAGGGACCTTGCTGACGCTGCTCCCCGAACAGCACGCGGACCACACACAGCAGTCCACGTGAGGGCAAGCAGCCCCCGGCCCGGAGACACCACCACCGCAGCATGTGGGGCAGCTGGGAGCCAAGGGACACCCTGCAGAGCACCAGAGACTACACAGCCCACCTCAGAACAGCCAGGCAGAGGGGACAAGAATGTGACAGTCTCAATCAAAGCCATGACGCAAACACAGGCACTGGTCACGCAGTCACACCAGGTCCAAGCCACACACCCACTCTGGGCTTTGGTACAAAGCTCCGGTGTGGTGTGCATCACCAGGCACTTCTACAGGGCCCTCTCAGGGACATCAATATGAACAAGGTATTTTAGATCCACCGTGTTTTCACACATCAGTGATGGGAAGCAATATAAAAAAAAGAGGTGAAAGTCCTCTACAGTGAAACTACAGAACTCTAATGAGAGAAACTGAAGACCTGAAGGGTGAAAGATCTTCCATGTTCTTGGATAGGCAGAATTAATATTGTCAAAATGACCATACTACCAAAAGCTCTATACAATTCCTATTAAAATCCCAATGTCATTCTTCACAGATATACAAAAAACAATCATAAAATTCATTTGTAAAAATAAGAGGGCCAGAATAGCCAAAGCAATTCTTACCAAGAAAAGTGAAGCAGGAGACATCACAGCACCAGACTTTAAATCATACTACAGAGCTATAGTAACAAAAATGGCATGGCATTGGCACCAAAACAGACGTGAAGACCAACGATACAGAATAGAAAACACAGAGACAAGCCCGAATAAATACAGTTCTCTCAAATTAGACAAAGGCACCGTACACATACATTGGAGAAAAGAAAGCCTCTTCAACAAACGGTGCTCGGAAAACTGGAAATGTAACAAAATGAAATTAGACCCCCCCATCTCTCACCTTGCATAAAACTCAGATCAAAGTGGATCAAAGACCTAGGCAGATGGCAGGGTCTGTACCTACTAGATGAAAAGGTAGGCTCAATCACCTATCATCAGCTGAGGAACCAAATTCCTCCACCAGACTCCTAAAGCACAAGTAAAATCAAGAATCAATAAATGGGATGGTGTCAAACTAAAAAGCGTCTTCACAGCAAAGGAAACAATCAAGAACATGAAGAAAGAGCCTACAGAATGGGAGAAAAATCTTTACTACCTGCACCTCAGACAGAGCACTAATCTCCAGGATATGTAAAGAACTCAAAAAACTTAACACCGAAAAAACCAAATAGGGGGCTGGGGTTGTGGCTAAGCAGTAGAGCTCTCACCTAGCACGGGCGAGGCCCTGAGTTTGATCCTTAGCACCACATAAAAATAAATAAAGATATTGTATCAAACTACAACTAAAAAATGAAAAAATATAATAAGTAAAAAAAAAAAAAAAAAAACCCAATCAGTAAATGAGCAAAGGAATTGAACAGGTACTTTACAGAAGAAGTAGTAAGACTGGTCAACAAATATGTGAAAAAATGTTCAACATCACTAGCAGTTAGAGAAATGCAAATTAAAACTACACTGAGATTCCATCTAACTCCAGTCCGAATGGCAATTGTCAAGAATACAAGCAATGATAAGTGTTGGCGAGGATGTGGGGAAAAGGTACACTCATACATTGCTGGTGGAACTGCAAATTGGTGCAACCACTCTGGAAAGCAGTATGGAGATTCCTCAGAAAACTTCGAGTGAAAACACTATTGGACCCAGTTATCCCACTCCTCGGTTTATATGGAAAATACTTTAAAATAGCATACTACGGTGACACCGCCATATCAGTGTCATAGCAGTTCAATTCATGATAGGTAAACTAGGCTAGGTATCCTTCAAAAGATGAATGGATAAAGACAATGTGGCATATATACACAACAGAATGTTCTCAGTCATAAAGAAGAATGAAATCTGGCATTTGCCAGTAAATGGATGGAACTGGAGACTATCATGCTAAGTGAAATAAGCCAACCCCCAAAACCAAAGGCCAAATATTGAATGTTCTCACTTATATGCAGATGCTAACACACACTAAGGTGGAGGAGGGAGAATAGAAGTTCACTGGATTAGACAAAGGAAAATGAAGGGAAGGAAGAAAAGGGAATGGGAAAGACAATAGAATGAATCAGACATCACTTTCCTATGCTCACGTGTAAACACACGACCAGGGGCACTCCACATCATGTACAGCACAAGAATGGGAACTCACACTCCATGTAGGATATAGCATGTGTATGGTATGTCAAAATGCACTCTATTATCATGTATAAAAAGAACAAATTAAAAATTTTTTTTTAAAACCCTGGTGTCTACTTTCAGGTGGTGGAATTCTGGTTAGAGCTGATTGTATTTCCTCCTTATTTCTTAATATTTCTACAAATAACGTGTGTTACTCACATTTTTTTTTTTTTAATTTAGAAAATGGAGTAAGCAATCAACACCACAAAATCAGCAATGTTGAAACAACTAGCTAGAACAAGGGGGACCCAGAGATTAGGAAAAGTCAGAGCCTGGCTGTAGTGCCCATGAAGAAGGGGCTTCAGGGCCCCTGCAGAGAAGCAAGGGAGCACAGGGCAGAGCAGATGTCTGCTGGGCACATAGCACTCTCTGCCTGGCAGCTCAGTGTGACCTGGGGACCAGTGGGAGCTGGAAGGACAGGCCCCAGCACGAGACCCCCACCCCTTCTGAGCCTCCTGGAAATCAAGACTAGGTGCTAGAGCACGGAGCACCACAAAGGGGACCCAGGCTCCCTCTCCTCAGGCAAATGTGCCATAACCCTAATGTCAAACGACAACATATTATCCTTTAGCAAACCTTCTCCAAGATGAGAGCTCCATAGACCCCAAGATGAAGACCGCCTGTGCTCTGCTGTGATGCTCTGAGGCAGCAGTGCCTCCCTAGGTCAGGGTGACATACAGCCCCAGTCCCACCCAGGCCAGAAACACACTCAGCCCCAGACCCACCCAGGACACACTTAGGCCCCCCAGCCACTCCCAGGCCAGGGACCCATGTAGCCCCAGCCCACAGATACCAGGGACACACTCAGCCGCAGGCCCTCCCAGGCACACTCAGCCGCAGGCCCTATCAGAACACACTCAGCTACAGGCCCTATCAGAACACACTCAGCCGCAGGCCCTCCCAGGCACACTCAGCCGC